CCCCCCCCCCCCCCCCAAATGGGTCGCAATATCAAACTGCCCTGGAATGAGAAAACGGAGAGTTTCGTGTTCTGTGTGTCTTGCCTTTGGATTTTATACTGTTTTAATTGTTGCTGTGTGTTACTGTCATTCCAGTTGAATGCTTGCACTCTCTCTGTTGCTTCTGAACATCCATCACTGTGTCGGTTGTGTGTTGCTCTGACAGCCTGTTCGGACTCCATGTGCACTAGTCATGAACGTATCTGGGAAATGAGAAGCGTCCGGCAGAGTGGGCGATGCCAGTGCGGGTTTCGTGCTGAGCGACGTCCTCTCTGTCTGCCCCCTTTGGCTGTGTGAGGGGTGTGGCCATGGCTGACACGCCCACTCTCTCTGTATCCCGATTGGCTGGGTGCAGTAAGGGGCATGGCTTTGGGTGACACACCTGCTGTCTCTCTGTCCCGATTGGCTGTGTGCAGAGTTCACCCGCCGCGTGAAGGAGAGGATGCACCACAACATCCCGCACCGCTTCACTGTGGGACTCAACATGAGGGCCAGCAAGTGTGCCGTGTGTCTGGACACTGTGCACTTCGGCCGGCAGGCCGCCACCTGCGTGGGTGCGTACCGCTAACCTGTACCGCTAACCTGTACCGCTAGCCTTCATTTCTGTGTTCATGACCTGCCCTCATGCTTGGCTGTTTCCTGGAACCGAGTCCCTGTTCCGGGGCCCGTGGAAGCTGATCTCCGCCCCCCCCCATGGGAGCAGTGTCCGTCCCGCTGTCACGGACCTCACTGTCTTGCCGTCCTCCCCTCCCCCTCTCCAGAGTGCCACGTCCTGTGTCACCCCAAGTGCTCACCGTGCCTGCCGGCCACGTGCGGCCTGCCCGCCGAGTACGCCACGCACTTCTCCGAGGCGCTGTGTCGCGACAAGGCCAGCTCCCCGGCCATGCTCATGAAGGAGGCCAGCGGGCACGTGCGCCTGGAGGGCTGGATGAAGCAGCCCCGGTACGTGTGGGGAGTGGGCATGTTTACCATGCCGCCGTGCGCCGCTACACTGACCGCCGAGCTGAACACCGTGACTGACCACACAAAGCCCTCTGAGCCGGTCTGTCACCACGATTTGGGGTTGGTTACGCCAGCCTGTCTGTAGGGCGTCAGTATGAATGACGGCCTGCTGCTGATGGTAGGCGCCGGCTGACATTCTCGTGGATCTGGCAGTCGTGCCGCCAGGCCCTGCGTTTCGGTGTCAGAGCGCCCTGCCCTCGGCGTCGCGACCAGATGGTCGTGACTATTGGCCGTGTAAGCAGAGACCCACCTGCCCTCTGTGTCCCCCGAGGGATCAGGACAAATGAATGTGATTAATTACACGAGGTGCCCTTTGTCAGGCCTGCTCTGTACTGGGGCTGCCTGAATGAGGCCTACTCTGTACTGGGGCTGCCTGAATGAGGCCTGCTCTGTCCTGGGGCTGCCTGAAGGGTGACGGCGTTCTCCTCTGAGCCCTGTCACTGTAGCCGTCGTCCTGACAGGCGCTTTTGCATCTCACAGGAACGGGAAGCGTGGCCAGCAGGGCTGGGAGAGGAAGTACGTGGTGCTGGACGGGACCAAGCTGGCCATATTCGAGACGGAGCCCAGAGAAGGTTCTTACTCACGCTGTTCGTACCGGCATCCGCCCTGGGATTAAACCCCCTCCCCAGACTCCGGGGTCAGGCTCATTGCAGTGAGGAAACAGCCAAGGCTTCTAAGTAGCCATTTGACTATAAAGTATCTATTCTGAGTGAACCACAGTTTTAAGTGAACACTTGCAGCTTCTGCCCCTTTGAATGCGTCTCGGTAAGGCGTGGCTGCGCTCGGCCTTCACCAGGCAGGCCTCCACTGAGCTGTGCCAATGGCTAAAAGTAGCTGCTAATGTGGTGCAGATTCTGTCACGCCCCAGGAGGAGTTCGAGCTCTGCCTCCCAGACGGGGAGGTGACCGTGCACGGCGCCGTGGGGGCCTCCGAGCTCATCAACACCGCCAAGTCCGGTGGGTCCCGCCAGGCCTGTCACCAAAACTGCTTTTGTTGGATGATATATTGCTCCAGTAATAATTACAATAAATGGTGATATTCTCATTTTCAGATAATTTTATGCCACTGGTATAATGACAATATCACAGTAATGCAAGTACAGCTTTTCAGAGAGCAGTGAATTTTTAATTATCAAGAATATTCAGATATTGGAATTGGAATGTAAATATACTAAGTAAATAAAACCACACAACCAAAAAAATTTGATAAAATGGACTCTTGGGCTCTGTTAACAAGACCTAAACTAAATATTAATCATTTGGCACAAGGGTATGAGTCAATAATTCATTTACAGTGATGCTATTGAACCTCAATCGTTCTTTGGCCAGGGGAAAAGTAACAGGAAATCAGAAGTTGGACCAAAGATAAATATTATACCTTTTCTACTTTTCTTACATTTAAAGTATAGGACAGTTATTTTGATAGCATAAATTCTTATACAAATGTACATTCAAAACTATAGGTAGGATATATTGGCAAAGTAGCAAAAACCAACAGGTATCGAAAATTTCTCCTACGGAAGCAAATTCCACAAAGGCAGCAAAACTGTCATTTATATGGATTATTTGCTACAAGAATTTAGACTCCTAGATGGCTATAAACGAAAATAAAATACGTTTATACTGCAACACCATACACCCGTGTATGTTTTTGCGTGTTTATTGTTTTGATTTTTTTTTTATTTAGTTTTTATACTTTTATTTTCATTTGAAATCTAGTTTAGTTTTAGGTGTGGTTTCCTTAGTTTTTAAAGATGTAAATATATTTTGTTGTTATATATTTTAGGTTTTAGTCATTTTATTTCTAAAATTGTTGCTGGCTGCTGCTAATCGTCGCGATGATCTGCTGTTGGCTGTTTCTGTGGTTCAAGTTCACTGCACAAGAGACCCAAAGATAAACAAATCATTACTTTAGTTAAATAGTATTGAAAAACAGTAACAGGAGCTAATTTATCTCCTTTGGTTTTGGAACCAGTATGTATAGTTGTTGTTTACTTGCAGTGTTTATTTTTGTAGCATTTTATTTCAGTTTATGGAAAAGTTATGGAGGTTTTGTCCATATATGGTGCGATATCGTCATTACCGTGACCGGCCTGGGTCCCGCGTACCTCTGAGCACAGCGGTGTTCTCCACAGACATCCCGTACGTGCTGAAGCTGGAGTCCCATCCCAACACCACCTGCTGGCCAGGACAGGCCCTCTACTTCATGGCTCCCAGCTTCCCTGACAAGCAGCGCTGGGTGGCCGTGCTGGAGTCGGTGGTGGCGGGGGGGCGGAGCTCGCGCGAGAAGGCTGAAGCAGACGCTGTGAGTAGACGGCCGTGAAGCCTGACAGGAACCGGGCACACCGGGCTCTGCATGTACTCCCTGCCGACTCTCCGGCCCTCGTTGCCGTTACGGCCGTCTTTGGCTCTTAATAATCCTGTCTAATTAATACGCTGAGGGCATACCGGCCTGCCTCCGCGGTCCCCCCATGTCCTTTAAGGAACGGGGGCTTTTTACTGTCCGTCTAACTGACAGTTCTGTGTATCTCTCTCTCATTTTCTTTCTCTCTGTCCCTTTCTTTGCTCTCTGCATCTCCATGGTCTCCTCTGTTGCCTTGCTGGTTGTTTTTCCTTTGGCCCCTTTCCTCCTCCCCCATTCTCTATGATTCCCATCCCATCGGGTTTTGCTATGTTCACACTGTAGGCCGCAGCTTCCAAAAGACAGAAGATTCTTTCCCCACTGGTCCAGGTAAAGACCGGCGCAAGGCTGCCTGCCGCTTGGGCCACACGTCTGCCAGCGGCCCGCCCCCTCCCGAAAGAGCCAAAGCTCCGGCTGATGCTCCTGCAGTCATGCACACGCACACACACACACACACACACACACACACACGCGATAGCCGGGATCCACCCACACGGAGACGGTGTCCGGTTTACATGCCTGAGCATCTGCTGGTGCCCCGTCCGCCCCGCTGAGCTCGCACGCCATGCCTTCCTCAATTTCCTTCATCTCCCTCCCCCTCCTGCCAAACTCGGCAGCTGCAGGCCGCCCTCTGAACGCATCCCCCTCCCTCCCCTGCCCATGTCACATGATGCGGCCGCCTGGGCACTGCTCTGCATCAGGCCACTCTCATCCAAGCCATTAGAACTGTTCTGGACACCCTGGGAATGTATGGCATGGCTAGGGATGGGGGGGGGGGACAAACTAATGTTTTTTTTGCCAGATCTGCAGTGTTCTACAGAGCTGTGCTGTGAGCACTTTCCTTTATCAAAACCACTATGCAGCACATAGACAGTTGGGACTGAACTCATTACCAGGCTTGAGCAGCTATCAGAGGTTTTCTGATGAGTGAGGAAGTCATCAGTTGTCTAACCCCATGGAATTGGTCACACACACACACACACACACACACACAGCAGCAGACCAAGAGCTCCTGTATAGAGCACCAGCAGAAGAAACTCGCACTTTGAGGTTCAGGTCTACGGGACAGCGTGTGTCTCTGTGTGGACCCCAAGCCTTTGTGTGTGTCCCCCTCCTACAGAAACTGCTGGGTAACTCTCTGCTGAAGCTGGAGGGCGACGACCGCCTGGACATTAACTGCACACTGCCCCTCACAGACCAGGTGCGATGGCCGCGCTGAGCGCAGCAGCCCTACAGGCGTGACAGTGGAGCACTTCTCACTGCAGACGGCACAAAGACCTGACATTAATAGTGCTCTGAATAACCCTCTATTCACTAGTAGGTAAAAGCACAGTGCTTTTTGTCCCCACCCCCCCACGTAGGTGGTGCTGGTGGGTTCTGAAGAGGGTCTGTACGCCCTGAACGTCATCAAGAACTCCCTGACCCACATCCCGGGCCTGGGCTCCGTCTTTCAGATCCACATCCTGAGGGAGCTGGACAAGCTGCTCATGATCACTGGTCAGCAGTGTGGCGCCTTTCCGCCTTGGCCGCGGGGCGTACGGGGCAGCGACCCGGTCCACTCACACCCAGCACAGAACCCAAGCATGAAACACCACATATTAACCATGGGGACTGAATAAATAGAACAATAGGTGACAAGCTTGGGGGTGACAGAGTCCCCCTGGAGTAATTGGGGCTTAAGGGTCTTGCTCAGTGGCATCACACTGTTGGCCATGGGATTTGAACCGGCAACCTTCTGATCACAAGCACAGGGCTCTACTGTGCAGAACCGGCCACCATTCATACTGCTCTCCTAACCATAACTGTTAAATGCCAGCTAGCTGGTAGGAGACGGGTAATTATGTAGTTTTTGCTCCCAGAATAGAACAGATGCCTTTATAGTCATTGTACAGTAAGCAAGTACAATACAGATTCAGTGTTTGCTATACTGAGCATTTGAACTGGTGACCGTCCAATCATGGGCACACCGTGCCAACCAGCAGAGCCACGCACTGCCCCCAGTCAGCCTTACTGGGTCCTTACTTTTTCCCGGTGCAGGGCCCGAACGCGCCTTGTGTCTGGTGGACATCAAAAAGGTGAAGCAGTCTCTGTCCCAGGCCCACCTGCCCGCCCAGCCCGAGCTCTCACCCTACATCTTCGAGACAGTCAAGGGCTGTCATCTCTTCGCTGCTGGCTGGGTGAGCAGTTCCGTCCCCCATTTATCTAACAGACACTCCCTGTAGCTTGTGCCCTCCAGAACCACGACGCTTTCATTCGGTCATTTCGTTCTGGGAAGAGTGGTGGCAGCTCTGACACGTTCTGCTACGGCCCGCAGATCGAGAACGGGCCGTGCATCTGCGCCGCCATGCCTAACAAGATCACCATCCTGCGCTACAACGAGAGCCTCGGCAAGTTCTGCATCAGGAAGGTGAGATGGGCGCTGGCAGGGGGCACAGAGGAGGGTCTGCGCCGCCCATTTCAGGCCCTACCCGAATACGGCCGCCAATAAAACAGGATACAACACGCCGAACAAAGTCCACACAGACACACGAGTAATTTCAGGGTCGTTTTACTGGTGCTGTTATACGCGGAGGTTCATTTTTACCTGCTGGGACAGAGTGGGCGGCTGGTGCAGGCCCCACAGTGCTGATTCAGCACGCTGCCCCCCCTCCCCTCCCCCCACAGGAGATTGAAACCTCTGAGCCATGCAGCTGCATCCACTTCACCGGATACAGCATCATCATCGGCACCAACAAGTTTTACGAGATCGAGATGAAGCAGTACGTGCTGGAGGGTAAGTTTCCCCGGGGGGGGGGCTCTTCTCACGCTCAGGCACAATATTGATGTTTATCAGGTCGCTAGTGGCTCCTCTCTCAAGGCTCTCATAAGTGTAAGTGATTCATTCCTAAGTAATAAATAGCACCCTGTCATTTGGTAATTCTGAACAGTGTTTACCCACCGTGGAGGTGTTTCCATGACGACAGAGCAGTCACAGGTTAGATATATGAGGAGCCGCTCGTCACCCTCTCCTCCACAGAGTTCCTGGACAAGAACGACGTGACGCTGGCGTCGGCCGTCTTCGCCGCGTCCTCCCACAGCTTCCCCATCTCCATCCTGCAGGTCAACAGCGCCCCCCAGAAGGACGAGTTTCTGCTCTGCTTCCACGGTGGGCCTCATCCTCACCGCTTAGCGTCAGGAAGCGTAGCTTAAGGAGAATCCGAACGATCACTCCCCCGTGACGGTCTCAGAGCCGTCTGCGTGAGTGCGCCGCTGACGCTTCCCCTTTGTGTCTCGGCTCAGAGTTCGGCGTCTTTGTGGATGCGTACGGACGCAGGAGCCGCACCGAGGACATTAAGTGGAGCCGCCTGCCTCTTTCCTTCGGTGAGTGCCGCCAACGCCACCGGCCTTCCTGCTGACACACGCAGGTTCTTGACGGCGGCATCTTCTGTCACAGCCTACAGGGAGCCGTACCTGTTCGTGACGTACTTCAACTCCCTGGACGTCATTGAGATTCGCCAGCATGCCTCTCTTGGGTACGACTGATATTGGCGCCGTTAAAGATGAGTGACAGGGGGAGGAGCAGATTGCTGAAGCGCATGTCAACAGACCACAGAGGCAGGAGAAATCTGGTGCCGATGACGCGCACAGTGTGACCCAGCGGCTGCCCAGCACTGAGGCTTACTTACGCTCTGCCCGTCCAGCTCCTCAGCTCACGCTCACCTGGACATCCCCAGCCCTCGCTTCCTGGGCCCGGCCATCTCCTCGGGGGCCATCTACCTGGCCTCCTCCTACCAGAACAAGCTGAGGGTCATATGCTGCAAGGGCAACCTGGCGCGCGAGTCCGGGGACCTGCAGCGGAGCAGCTCCAGCCGCAGGTGAGCGTCCGGCGGGGGCCACAAGGGCCTCAGCGCCAGCCTGGGTAGAGATGCTCCAACGTCGGGTCTGCAGAGATGACGTGGCACTTACCACGATAAGATGGCCGAATCAAAAAAAAAACAGGCAGGTTTGAGTAATTAAAGTCACGTGTTTGGGCATCTCTGCCAGAGCACGTTCATGGCTGCAGGGGGGGTTAATAAAGGCGTGCTTTGTGTGGTAATTATGTGATCTGTTCTTTGCAGGAAGAGGAGTGCCTTTTTCATATGTAGTAAACCAGATTAATGCTGGATAACATTTCAAAATGTGGCAATATTTTATTAACCATGAATCTGAATAAAAGGAAGCTAAATTGTACTAAATGACTCATCGGCCCAAAACGGAAGTGGGTCTGGTGGGACAGAGTAGCTCTCTGCTGCCATCTGCTGTTGCTGGCTTACAGATTGGTTTTTGAATAAAGCTCATTCTGTGGGTTTTGTGGCCTGACCGCTGCAGGAAATGCTTCTTTCGTGTGTTTTTAACGTTACTTCCAGGTAAGTAAGTGAATTAAGAGTCTGTCTGTTCCTGGGTCGAGCATCTGCAAAGCAGCCCTGATTCACAAATACGTCAAACAGGATGACGGCTCACATTCCAGCCCGTCATGCATGAGCACTGCTGGGAAAATATACATTTAGCATATGGTTAGTGACCTACAAGAACACTGGCCCCAGGCCCAGAAAGCGGGGGAAGGAAGAGCAGCCCGGCTGGCTGTGTTACATGTGAGCACTGACTATCAGTTAGTCTGCAAGGTGACCTTATATCTGCTGTAGATTGACAGCTTATCAAATCAGACATTAAAACACACTAAGAGTACCTGCTTCGTGCAGCCAAGCAGCGGACGAGGATAAGCCGTTTTCTTCATTAGGTCCATCCTGGATGAGTAGCTGAAGCTGACAGCCTTGTTTCCACAGCAGCCCCAACAAGCGCGGCCCCCCCTCCTATAACGAGCACATCTCCAAGCGGCTGGCGTCGGGCCCCGGGCTGCAGGAGGGGCCACAGCGCGAGCCCAGCACGCCGCACCGCTACCGCGAGGGCCGCACCGAGTTCCGCCGGGAGAAGTCCCCGGCACGGCCCCTGGAGTGGGACAAGTCGCCGGGCCGCGTGCTGGACAGCCGCAGGGAGCGCTCACCCGGCCGCAGCTTTGAGGAGCGCGCCCGTCTTCACACGGGCTCCGTGCGCACGCCGCTCACGCCCGTCAACAAGGTGGCCGGGTCTCCTCCGCGATTACGGCGAATCACTGGCGTGCTGCAGGTCTTCCCTTCATCTGACCACCTGTCCCCCTCCTTCCAGGTGTGGGACCAGTCGTCTGTCTGAGCACAGCCTCCCGACCCAGGAAGAGACAACGTTGCACTGTCACAGGATCCGTACAAAGATGGCTCAGGCCTCTGCGACTGGTGTGAACATGGTTTTTAAGATTATACAAAAACAGAAGTCACTGTGTCAAGTCCAAACAGTTTACAGGATTTTCAAAGAACTGGGTCAGACACATTTTACTTTGCTTACATGAGTAGCAGCACCGATCCAGTGCGATTCATATCTGCGTCACACTCCTTCAGGCTCCAAACACGATGATTAAAGCACACGCATCTTTCTCCATGATATTATTTGGTTGCCATCTGCCCATGACGTATGAAGGACGTTCACTCATGCGCATTTCACACTCGTGCACATGTGTGCCGCAGTCAGCCTGGCCTGCTTGGAAGAGAGTGGTCTTTGTAGTACTTGATCTAATCAGCACCTGTAAATAAACTAACTTGAGTTTTTATAGAAAAAGGGAATATTAGGCTGGTGAAGCCATGTCTATTTTTGTTAAAATGAAAACTTTCATACGTGTCCTTTCAGATTGCTGTCCCATTTAAAGGGGGAAGGAAAAAAATACTATTATCTGAAATGTCATTTCCTCTGCTTTTGCCATGACCACACCATTTGTCTGGCTTTTTTTTTTTTTTTTTTAACAGATATTGAGTTACACATTTCATAAACATCTCACTGAATTCAGCCGCTTTATACTGCCGTAAGCTTCCTTGTGTTTAAATCATTAAAATTAAGTGTTGGCGGAAAATAACTAATGACAAGAAGTGCACGGACAGCCGTCCATTGCAACGCAAATGCCTTCAGCTGCTTTGACGACTTTTGCCGCTTCGGTTACAGATAATCCTGTTATTTTTGTTCTGTGCCGTAAACTCTGTCGTCTGGTAACCCTCAGGGTTTATTTACACTATTACTGCTTCCGTTTATTGTAAGACTTCAGTGCATTAAAAAAAAAGATGTGACGAGAAACACGTGAAGTCGCAATAGCACGCATGCGTAATAAAAACATTTTCATTTAATCCCTTCATTTCGGTCCCATTTTCTCTACTGTGTTCACTGCTTCTATATTGTGCATTAATTAAATTACTTGATACTTGTCGATGTCCAAGTAATGCTGACAAAGGAATCGGCTATCCCAGTAGATTTTTATAAGTATAAATATATATAAAAATTGTACACTACCATTAAACCCACTGAATTAAATACGCCGGTGTCTTTTATTAATTATTTTGCATTGCACTAATGATTTAATAATCGATACTTTTCATGATATCCAGTATCTTGTGCTGATGCCAGATCGTTGTCGGCCCGCCGCGAATTCTCGCATACCCAGCGTGTTACTTGGGTGACTCTATGGAAATAGGTCTATAATACGGGGAATTGGATTACATAGAATACACTTTAGAACAGCAAGTTGTTAAATGTGACAACTCATATATCAATGGCTACATACACATTTTGCTAAAATATTTTGCCGGTGTTATTCGAGCTTGTTAAGGGCAACTTCTGCCAAGGCACCGACTTACAAGCCAGTTTCACGTTCATGTCTCGGATGGTGACTCGCGCCTCGCGCCCTCTGCGCCGGAGTGAACAGCCACGCGACGGAGGTGGTGGGGACATCTTAGTCCAGCTTCGTCACTAACCAGAAGCACATCTCCGTCGCCACCCTTGACCCCGCATCAATAAATCTAGTCGACCGATCCTCCCAGATCAGTAAGTTTTATCGTCCGCACCCCAACCCCCTCTTCCGTAAGTTTTACCCAGTGCGCTGATTAGCGGATCATTGATTTTACATCGTTTTTAATTACCTCTCGTTTCTCTCTCGGCTATGCGGAATAACAAACCATCCCGTTATTTGCACAGTACATTCAGTGCGAACAATTAAAATGCAACAATGAGAAGTACAGTTACCCGTATTTCGTATTTTAACACATCCAGGATTGTCATTAAAGATTTACGAGATGGGAGGACACAACACCTACGTCTACACGTCAGAAGACAAAGCAATTTTTGTTTGCAGGGTAATTATACGTGCTGTAGTTTACAACATGTATAGAAAGGGCTGGATCCAGCCATAGGCAAACTAGGCAGCTGCACAAAGAGGCTCAGACAAAGTCATGAAACAAGTATGTATATTAGGGCGGGGAAATGTATCGCATAATAGTCTTGCGTTAAATTTAAAATCATAATGCATGTTGTATTTTGTTACCCAAAAGAAAAAAATTGTATGAGCCTAGATTTCAACAGACCTACAACATTCCTTCCTGGTTGTAACGTCGCACAGAATCCCAGAGTTCAGAGCTAAAATCAAAACATACGGTTAGCGGTGGATGTTACCTGGGGCTTGTATCACGAATTGTCGGATTTAAGGTAGTCTGGGATAAATATAAGTGGACGAAGATAAAGTCCGTTTAATCTGGGGTACCTTAAATCCGACACGTTATCCAGCTAAGTAAAAAACGCTGCTTTATGATACAGGCCCCAGGTTTATTTCATTTTAAGAAAAAAGCCAAACAGAGGGATACATACTGTATGATGAAATAAATATTACAAATTAAGTTATTAGAGGCTTTTATCTTTTGAAAAAGAAACTTTTCGGTGGCATGAATGTCCATCAATATGTATGAAATGCATTATTCTGATTTCAGTGACAATTTCTAAGATGGGCAACCCTTATGAATATAAAATTTAACTAAGGCTTTAAGTAGATAAGAACATGAACCAAGGATCAGGGAGAGAGGTACCATTTTATACTCTCAGGATACCAACAACTGCAGACATACAAAATACATATTATAATTTGTTTGCTAAATCAGGGCAGCAGTGTTGCCTTGGGACCGGGTTCGAGTCGCGACCATGGCTCCATGTGTGTGGAGTTTGTTGTGGGGTTTCCTCCTTTCTCTCCTCACAGGCCAAAAATATGCCAAAATGAACCGTTGTTGCCTGAGTGTGTCCTGCGATGGGTTGACACCCCATCCCGAGCCTTTCCCTGTCTCGTGTCCACAGACTGACACCCCATCCCGAGCCTTTCCCTGTCTCGTGTCCACAGACTGACACCCCATCCCGAGCCTTTCCCTGTCTCGTGTCCACAGACTGACGCCCCATCCCGAGCCTTTCCCTGTCTTGTGTCCACAGACTCAAGACCCCTCATGATACCAAACAGGCCAAGCAGCTACAGTCCTAGTGGTTCCCAAAAAAAACAGAAATATGTAAACAAGGAATATGTAAATTAAGTTGACCTCATTGCTGTATGACCATTTTTTTAAACTAGACTATAACAACATTAATATGTGCCAAAATAGAAACAATTTTAGCAATCCCTGGGTTGAGACACTTAAGATTTATTAAGTTAATATTAAATATATTATTTCATTTGCTAATTTTTACAAAGTACAGAAGATGGCCATCCACTAACAGCCCATCTTAAGTGGAGGATGTCACCTCTTTGCTGGGAATGACACCAAATGCTGCCTCAGGGTGGCATCGCCCTGCCTGGTGCATCATGGGTAGGACAGTCAATGGGCTGCTCTCGTGTTGCAACTCGGAGAGACAGGGAGAGCCGCGCAAAAAAAAAATAAGTCCATCTAGCACTGAGCGGGAAAAGGTTTAACCTTACCTGCGCCAGCCAGCCAGCCAGGACCCCCACCCCAGCTCTGCCCCCCCCCCATCCCGCTGTTCTGAATATGGGGTACAGTAAATACCAAAGTGCATCTTCTCACTGACACATGACTGTCTTCAGGCCTTTTGCTTCTACACGGTTGTTCAAAGCCCTGTCCGTGTCCCTGGGATCCTCCAATCGATCACAGCGTGCCGGTCACATGGTCCATCTTGGGCGCAAGGTAGGGCGTTATATGGCCTAGTTGGAGCTGGCTGCTATGGGCTTCTCGAGCTCCAGGTCCACCGCGGGGACGGCGGAAAGGCGCAGGCTACCATAGCATGCCCCGCACACACGGCTGGGCTCCACCAGGTGCTGGCTCTGGACTGCCACCTTGTGGGCGCAACAGCTGGCACAGAACACATTCCCACAGTTCCTGCAGGGGGTGACAGAGAGCAATTAAAGGAGGAACCAGAGTTGGTGATGGGCAAAATGATACTTATGAACCATTTGATGTATTTTTTGACTCCACTAGATGGTGCTGTCTGTTCAAAAAAAGGGCTCAAAGCATGCCCCAAAGCAAGCCAAGAGCACCATCTAGTGGTGTCAAAAAATACATCAAATGGTTCATGAAGCTTCATCTGCCTATCACTAGCCAGAGTCAATCTAAGAGTGGGATGAACAGCAAAAATATCATTGGTTATTTGCGTTTTATGGATTTTGGTGAAAGACAAGAATGGTATAACAACAGGAGATACAGCGTATCTGTAATGAAAGCAGTGAGTGCAGCACACAGAATCGGAGGATCATTGACATGGAGGTAATAAAATGGCCACAGTGCCACCCTCAGGGGGCTCTCACCAGGCTTCTTCAACAGGCCGTCCAGCCCTGAGAGGAAGAGAGAAGAATCAGCGCCCCCTTCAGTCAAAAAAAGCACAGAATGCTTATTCCCCAACAGATCAAAACAATACCCTCTAACACCAGGCTATACAAACATCCAGGTGAAAAGGCAGTATCACTGACTTCAGATCAGTGCTCAGCATCGGGGTGAGTGAGCAGAGCAACATGTGAACCCGTTCCAACCTGGTCCCCAGCCACATCAGCCACTGACTCTAGCCATGACTGCCCAGGATGAGGTGGTCAGCCTCAGGACCCGACATGGGAGTAGTGATGGGCAAAACGATACTTGTGAACCATTTGATATATTTTTTGACTCCACTAGATGGTGCTCTCTGTTCAAAAAAGGGCTCAAAGCATGCCCCAAAGCAAGCCAAGAGCACCATCTAGTGGGGTCAAAAAAATACAGCAAATGGTTCATGAAGCTTCATTTGCCCATCACTACATGGGAGCCCTATGTGTGTGTATGTGTGCGGGAAGAGGGGCACGAACCTGCAGTGGTGCTTCCTGCCAGTTAGCCAGAACCGGCTCTCACACCCATAGCAGGGGTCTGCCGAGGGCTCCGGGTACCAGGAGGTCGCCTGTAGGGGAGGTGGGACTGTGCTCACGGTAAGGGACTGAGCTAGCCCACAGATGCCCCCTCTTGGCAGCACTGATGACCCACCTCCGCATCCTGGGAATTGGCCCCCTCCCAGCTGGCCTCAGAAAGCAGCTCCGCGCTGCAGCGGGACCGGCAGCCGGGCTGGAAGTGGCAGTCAGCATCGGGGGCGGGCATCTGGCAGGGCGGAGAGACACGCCCAGAGTTAAAAAAGGGGTCAGGATATCCTAAAAGCTCCTTCAGCATACTGAGCATCACTAGCAGAATACATGACTCATCTAGATATGGTGGTAGAGCCCAAGATAAATACTGTATGAGCTAAGACAGGCACAACCAAAAGGGGGCAGCAAATACATGGAGGGGAATGAAGGGGATTCAGGTTGTGTCGTGTCACAAAGCTGATTCTTGGGCTGCTTCTGGGACTTTATGCCCTGCTGGCACCAGCCCCCGCGCCCCCCCCCGGGCGGCCCACCTGTCTCCTCAGTGTCTCTACTTCCTGCCGGTGTCCCTCCTCCATCTGCTGCAAGGGTGTGTTGCCGGGTGGTACCTGCATGCCCGGGTGTGCGCAGCGTGAGGCAGAGGGGGCCTTCGGAGGGCCCTCGTCACCGGCCTTGGAGTACGGGGGCTGAGAAGCCTCGCTGTCAGGGCCCAGGGAGCTGGCGGTACTGGGGGCCACGGAAGCAGGGCTGTCAGGGGGTGCCATCTCCTCGGAAACCAACGAGATTGAGTCTCCATCTCCAGACTGTTCCACAGCAGGAGGGTATAAGGTGATTGGATGAAGATCTGAATCTGGGACCTCAGAGTCATGTGACAGGGATGCCACAGATTGATCCTTCACAGCCTCCAATGCAGGCGGGTCCACCAAGAGGTTTGTGCTCGACCCATGATGACCCTCTAATGTTGGCTGGGATGTTGAGTCCTCTGAAAACTGGTCTCCAGGTTCCTCCACTTCCTCTGCAGGCAGGTCAGCGGACATCCCTGAAATGGGGGCTAGGACCCCATCCTTATCGCCCATGTTAGCATCCCTCCATGGGGTCCGCACACTATCGTCGTCATCCTCTGATGCTTCCTGGAGGAAGTGCTCCATCTGTTCTTGAGCCACTCCTACTTCCATTAACAGCTCTGTCTCACCATTGGTCTTCTCTACACTCAGCTCCGCCCCCTTGCTAGTGTCAGCATCCTTAGGCTCCTCTCCATTGGACAGTTCGCCTGCCAATCTATCGTCCTCAATTTCAGAGGGGCATGTCCTTAGCTCCACCCCAGAGGTGTGAGTGACAGTGCCTTCCCGAGCTGGAGCCCCTCCTCCTTCAGGCCCCACCCCTACACTGATGTCCAATGAGCGACGGTGCTCCTGCCTCTCCTTCAGGCTGGGATCACTGGACCGCCGAGTTGGGACCGAGGCCCCTCCCACCTCGCAGGTAATGGCCAGGTCATCGAAGGACCTCATCTTTGGAAGCCTGCAGCAAGAGGACAAAAACAGGGGAGCTTAAAATTAATTAGAATTAAAAATGTATCCTAAAAAAGAAATTCCTCACATGAAAGACAATGAGAAACGACTTAATATTTAAAAAATCACACAGTATCCAGGCAGACTGAAAAGTAAGCATGTGTCCCGTGTCAGTAAGGGTGTGTCCCGTGTCAGTAAGGGTGTGTCCCGTGAACTTGACCTGCCCAGGTGCCCATCCTCTGGGCTGGGGGTGCAGGCATCGTCGAAGGGCGCCCGCGGGGAGGAGATGGGCAGGTAGAGGGCGTTCCACAGCAGGAGACTCCGCACGTGGAAGACGGGGAGGAGCACCTGGAGGACAGGAGATCCGGTGGGTAATCAGCGAGCTGAGCCATAAGACAGCGCAGCAAATCCCTGCAGAGCCAGACCAGGAGCTCTTATCTTAAAAGGCCCACATGAGCCGCTGCCGGAGCGATGAGCTCATCTCACCGTCACCTGGGTGTAAATCCATCTATATATGGCTGTGAGGCCAACAATTCTGCCCAAAGCAAGCCACTCATATTACAGCTGAGCATTTTACCAGTCAGGACAAAGCATGGTGCCTCACGCCTCTAGGGTTTGGGGTTCAAATCCCACCCTTGTTCACTGTTTGCATGTTCTTCCTGCGGATGCACATGGGTGCATGGAGATTTCCCCCAGGATTCCTAAGACATGCAGTTAGACTAAATGGTGTCTCTAAAGTGTCCATAGTGTACAAGTGCCCTGCGACAGAGCTGCATTCTCAGTGGGGTGTAGCCATGGCCCCCCATTCCCTGTGACGGGGGAGGGGCATTCTTAGCGGTGTGTAGTCATGCCCTGTGCAGTGGGCTTCCTGGGAAGTATATGCACTACACACATTGACCAACAGGTGGCGTCAGGGTACCATCTCAGAGTAAGTAGAGTAGAGGATGTTGAGGAAGGCGGGGTTCGTGGGCCGCAGCAGCGACCAGACGGAGCAGGTCCTCTCCTGGATACGGTGCTCCTCCCTCTCATGGCAGCTGTTGCACAGGAAGGTCCCGAACAAGCAGGAATAGGTGTGCTGAGCCAGCTTCACCTGCCACGAGCCACACCCACAGTCACATGGACACGCCCCTTCAGGCACACAAGACACACCCACAGTCACATGGACACACCCCTTCAGGCACACAAGCCATACCCACAGTCACATGGACACGCCCCTTCAGGCACACGAGCCACACCCAGTCACATGGACACACCCTTCAGGCATACAAGCCACACCCACAGTCACATGGACACACCCCTTCAGGCACACGAGCCACACCCACAGTCACATGGACACGCCCCTTCAGGCACACAAGACACACCCACCACATGAGTAACACCTCAGGTCCTGCGACATGAGGCGTAGTTGCTTCATTTCAATGCCAGGTGCCATAATGACTCACGCTGCTATAATGCTGCTTATAAACAGGATAACAGCCATACCACTTACTGGATCAGTAATTAGGACGTAATGAGAGGGGCGGAGCTCACCAAGAAGGCCTCGTTGAACTGGAAGGAGCAGGGGAACTGCCTCTGCAACTGGTGTACGCAGTCCAGCCACTGGAGGAAGACGGGGCAGCGCTCATTTGGGTCCTCCGAGTTCACCCCGTGGCCGCAGCGGTCGGCAAATTTGTGCCCAAAGTCCAGCCACTCTGTCTCCACCAGGACCTGGAAGCCCTGCTCTCGGCACCAGGCAGTAGGCAGGAAAAGCAGCCCGAATTAACCCCCCGACCAAGCCAGGTGGCTGGGGCTGGCCAGACCCGCACACCAGCCCTCGGACTCACCTCGATGGTGCGGTAGTATGGGTCCAGCAGCATCTTGGACAGCGCCACGATCTGCGGGGTGCGGTCCCAGCCGTCGGAGCAGTGCACCATGACAGGCCGCTGGTCCCGGTGCACGGCGTTCACCACCAACAGGGCCGCCTTCAGCAGGACCGACAGATGCTGCAGCCACTTGGTCCCCTCCAGGGCAGACAGCCAGCTGTGGAAGAAGCGAATGTCAGGGACCCCTCCCTCAGGACAGCTCACTAAATGGGACTCAGTGACACCCACACCTCTCACAGCAATTACCTACAGCAGCACATCAAATAACAAGTGCTGTTTACCACAGTCTAACGGCAGGGGGTCCTAATAATACAGGGAACGCTCACTTGGCCGGGTCAGGCGTCTGTGTGCACAGGAGGCGGAGGGACGCGAAGCTGCGGCGGATGGCGTGGATGTTGGCCATGCCCATGAAGAGGACCTCACAGCTGGGGTAGTACTCTGCAGGACAGCAGCAGGGCATGCAAACACACACCGTGAAGGTACCAATCAGGAAGGTGCTAGGCCACCCAAGCCGTCCCCAAGCTCGCCCCCCCCCCCAGCTCACCGGGGCACTCGCAGCCGCCCCCCTTGGCCCGGTTCGCCACGGCGGCCGCGTAGGACCGAGCATCCATTATCAGCAGCTTCGGCGCCTGGAGGACGGGAGCCTCCGAATCTGAGGAGGGGGTCACGGGAGAGTCTGAGGCAGGAACGAGGACAGAAACAGGTTATCAGGACTGAACCCACCTGAGCGCTTTCCCACAATGCCTTGCAGGTTACTTGTTCCCTCCATGTGGACTCTGTCATTAGCCTAAGGCTGTATCTCAGTATCAAATGGCTCACTGTGACTGAATTTGGAAGATATTTCACGACGTCACAGCAGTAACATGGGGTAGCTGTCATAATGCCATGTTAGTCAAGAGACATAAGGAGCACTGAAGTTATGAATGTGTCTCTCTGTCACACACACACACACACACACACACACACACACACGCACGAGTGATGGTGGGGCCCAACTGACCCCGGTCAGTGTGGCTGAGCTTCGTTGGGCAGGACCCGTTCACCAAGCTCTCCTGGGAGCTGCGGTCCAGGCAGCAGGCCTCGGCGATGCTCTGAGCCAGCCGCTCATCATCCGCGTTGCGCCAACCCCACCAGCTGACCTCAGGCTGACCACACCGCGCTATCACAGCACCCGTGCTCCGGTGCCTGGAAAAAGGGGGTGGGGGGGGGTTGGCAGCTATGCTCATTAAGTGTCATTCAGGTTCAAAAGCAGGTCAGTCTTGCTGATCCCCCCAAGTGCAGTCACACGTTCCTGACAAGATACTGCACGAAGAGCTCCAGTGGGACTCCGCAGTGGACCTGGCTGATTAGGTGTTCACCAGCACAGCGGCTCGCATCCTGCAGTGCACTTAAATTACCAGCCATGCTTCCTGGCGGGGGGCCGCATAATAAATACACATTCATCCCCCCGCACCCCTAATTCTGCACAATGTCACAGTGCATCGAATGTTCATTACTGACAATGAGAAGCCCTTAATAAGCTGGTCTTCCCCCTTGTCTGGACAAAAGGCAGAACTCTCAACTCTGCCTTGGTTGGGCCACACAGCCACAGAAGGCCAATCAGAGGCAGGTTTCTCATTAAACTGAACGTGCTGCCAACACCCAGCCAGCACTCCACAAAAAATCTTTGGCAAGTACAACTAAGACTAAAGAAAAACGGCGGCGTTTTGGTGCTTGATTCTTATTTCTCCCCAGACACTGTAAAGCCCTCTAATTAAATGCCATATACCAGCTTCTAAATATGTGGTACCTCTGCTGTCTAATTTAGCCACGACAGCTATTCTCTCACCTGTACACCACAGCGGGAAACCTCTTCCACGATCGGAAGGCAGCCACACTCTCCAGCTCGTTGTCAGTGATCCAGGCAGGGACAATCAGCAGCTGTGGGTAACTGGAACACAGCCTGAGGAGGAGAGACAAGGGAGAGACACACACATACACTTTTGTATTCATATACATGTACAGTAGGGACTGTTCATTAATTTGTAAGGGCAAAACCCTAATCATAGCATGCATGCGCTGACAGTCAGTCAGTCAGTCAGACAGACAAAGACAGACAGACAGAGACAGACAGACAGAGACAGACAGACATGCCAGTGCCTCCCAAACCCCACAAACAAACATGGACTGTACCAATCACATAGTGCTCTTACTTGTGGCTTATTGCTGCTCATCTAGTGGTTTCACACAAATATACAATTACCCACACGTTTATAGAGGGAGATCATTAAAAATCTTACTGTCAATACTAAACACGTTCAGTCTTATGCAGACTCTGTGTAAATATAGCCTGGAACGCACATACAGTACAGCAATGCATTTCTGAAAGCATGTGATATGTGTGTGTGCTCGAGGCATCTTTCTGACGGGATGCAGCATCACCTGTATTTGCGGTTGATTTCAGTCACCCTCCAGGCCCTCTCGGTGTTGAAGCCCATCCGCTCCACCTCGTTGCGGAACCGCGGGTGCACGTGGGATCCTGTCATGAGAGAAGTTACAGAACCGGCCGGTGGGTCGGGAGGGATGGGGATGCTGCTCCGAGGCGTCGCAGCACAGCGTGGTGCTGGGTGTGTCGAATTCCAGCGGTAAAGTTATGGGAGGAAGCAGCGAGTGACTCAGCTGTGGATGTTTCTGTGTGATGCGCTGAGGATTGAGGATCTTCAGATAATAGAGACACTACACATTTCCTTTCTCTCACATGGTAATTAGATCTGTAAGAAACCCCGAAGCTGACGACAATCCCACAGTTAATCTACGTGCTTGTATCTGATTGGCTAATGCTGGGAACCAATGACGTTGTGAGAATTAGTGAATCGGGTATTTGTAACCGCAAGTGTGAGTGATGACTTGAAGCCTGAGAAGTATGGAAACTGAATACCGGATCCTACTCCAAATACCTGGCCCGCAGAGCTCCCCCCGCTGCCCCTTCTCCCCCGCCTGCACATCCAGGCACCAGCTATGGAAGGCAAAGCAGAAGAGCTCCTCCAGCCGCGAAGGTGGACGAACGGCGCTCACCAGCCTCTTCAGCCACTCCTGACACTGATCGAAGGTGGAGAACTGGCACCTTAGGGGTCAAAAGCCAAATACTGAGCAACCACTGGATGACAGACTAACACGGCACCTTCCGGCAGAGATAATCGAGTAGCACAAAGAGCAAGAAGATACATTATGCTTTGATGCAAGAAGCACAGCATGTCAGAGTATTTCTGATGCATTGGCATTGACATGTTAGATGCTGCGCTATTAGCATGCTAGCAATGGCAAATTTTGCATGCTAGCCACACTGCTTTTAGTGAGCTCACCATGGAGATCACCGCAGAGGGACCCTACCTGATGACCTTGCCGTCTTTGCAGGTCACATGGAGTTGGAACACGTCCCGGCACTCCACGTGTTCGATCATCCGCAGCGGTACCTGCGGGGAGCAGAGGGAGGGCTGAGAGGACCCCAGGAACCAGCAGGACCAGAACTAAAAGCTACACTGGAACACTGCCGGGTTCCTGACAGGCCTGTGCCGAGTCAGCGCTGATGGAAAATAAGTTTAAAGTACATCTCTAACATCTCCATCGTGACAATCCCAGAGCACACTCTACGCAGACACACCATTTTGACCGGGGATAATCAGAGAACTCAGAGAAAACTTAAAACCATACATTTGATCAAAATAAAATGGCTCTCTCTCTCTCTCTCTCTCTCTCACACACACACACAGATTTTTAAATCTTACAACACTTTGGCATCCTATTTATGAACAGACTACTTTTCACAGGGGTCCTGGAAAAAAAAAAACAAATTGCTTTTCAACAAACCAGGAGAGCTAGAGAGCGCCCTCACTGCTCTCGCCAAAGTTCTGCTAAGCCCAGCAGGGACCGAGCTTGGCCATTGGCTGAAGCACAGGCTAACCCGGCTCAGAAACGTTTTCAAGCCAAACAAGGACAACTCAATTGTCAACCTGCCCAGAGGGGGCACTCAGTCAAACACAAAAGGAAAAGACCTGTTAGCTATGCCAGTTTACAAACCAAATTAACCGCAGTGATACAGGAGATACGAATTTCCAAATATACACATTTATCGCCAGCAAGACAACCACAAGATGAACAGAGCAGATAATGAAGGACACTCGGAAACTCAGGTAACCGGCAGGAAATTGGGGGGGGGGTTAAAATCTACAATTGCATCTATTGGCTAATTATTACCACTTTGACCTGCTGCTCAACGCAAGCGAATTCCAAGATCTACAATGGAATCATTTATGGTTACAGGTTGCAGTACAACCTGTAGAACGAGATAGTTCAGGTGCAACGACGTCTGGATTCCGGAAACAGCAGATGTGATAAAAAAAACAGGCTGTGACTCACGTTGACCGTGGACTCCCTAAACTGGATGTGGAGCCGGTAGGTGGAAAGGGCGATGATGGCGTCCTCTGTCCGCCCTACGTACACCGTTGCTTCTCCATGAAGCTCGGAAAAAGGGAACTATGGGAACGGGGGTCGGGGACATTAAATCACTGTGACATCGTCTCTGCGATGGGGAGGAGGACAGATGCAGAGATTAACCATGATCCCAGAATCCCCTGCTGCTTCCCCACCTGTAGGGCGCTGCCTTCAAGAACAGGGGGCTTCTTAGGGAGGCACTCATTGGCCTGGAGGGCCGTCACACTCAGAGACTCCTCCTTCTACGGGAACAAAGAAGAACCACTCAGACAGCTTGCTGATGCCCTGCCGGTTTCTGGAAAAACACGACCTTCTGGCAATCACATTCCAGCCCACTCCACTTACAAACCTACCACAAAGTATTCAACCTCAGACGCAACTACATACCTTGACACATACAATAAGCAGCATGGGCACTGTACTGTCAAGAGAAATGAGCAAACCCTGAAGCAGTCATTCGTGTCATGCTTGGCATCAGTACTTAGCTAGTAGCTTACCATGGCCCCAGCGATAGAGTACAGGTCACTGTCCCGAAAGAGGCTCTCCTCGTCGCTGGACCGCAGGTGCATTCTGAAAGGCATCGCGGCACACATTGGCACGTCAGTGAACTCCCCACTACAGCCTGACCTAAAGCTTTCTGATTCACGGCGTTGCAGCATCTTCGCCCTCCAGCCCCGTCACCAGATTTAAGCACGGCACCACGGGAACATTACAGAAAGGGCACGACATGGGCACGACATGGGCACGACATGGGCACGACATGGGCACGACATGGGCACGACATGGGCACGACATGGGCACGACATGGGCACGACGCTCACCAGAGATCACAGAAGAGGTAGCCTGAGGATTCAGCAGTGAAGGCCTCACAGCAACAGACAACATTAAAGCCTCCTGGAGAAAAAAAATAAAAGGCTACAACAAACATACATTTTCCATGCCCCCCCCCCACCAAAGCAAGCATGCAAAGTTCAGTTTATGCTACTAGAGGACTATTACAGCAGGCAACTGAGTGCACGAACATTAATAAATTTATAGTTCCAATTAATAACTCTATTAGAGCTTGTCCTAAAATTTTGGCTTTAAGCGACTCACCTTTACAACAAACATAATTTGCCCCCTACAGTCGCTGGCCCGTAAGTCATAAGGAACTAAAATAAGACTGGAATATGTTTTAAAGCTGCACCTGACACAAGGTCCCAGTGTGCAATTTGGCAACAATTTGAAAACGGCACACAAGAGCAGAGTGTCTTGCCTTGGTATGGATTTTACAGCCCGGAAATTTGATTCGGTAAAATCAGCCTGCATTCATCATGTTATGGTCCAGCAGGACATACAAGACAACGGGAGTCTTACTGGTACTATACATTACTGCTTAGTTGAATGGACAGTCCCTACATTACTGCAGGGGGTCCTGCTTATCCCGCAGGACCCCCCCCCCTCTCCAATGGCTGATGATACAGCACCCCGCCCCAGTGCTAAAACTACATCCCGCCCAGGATCAGCTGCGAATCCTGACCCGTCATCACCCCAATTCACAGCTCAGATCACCAGGGGAAAAAGCACTTAACTCATTAACGCTGTGTCTGTGCTGCTCTGCACGGTCAGTTACTTTATTCACTTCGAAGAACAGCTGACGCACCTGTGGCCCACAGAGCATCGTCATAACTGGGACAGGAACTCACCACCCACTGGTGCCACACCCCAACGCAAGCGCCACACATCCCCATTCGCAGGAAAACAAAAATCAAATCGGGTTTACACCTTCAATAAAACCCCCATATGGCGAAAAGTCAAAAGATGACAAACAGAAATTAAGTTCAGCCACGTGGCCAATGCGGTCATCTCTCCCCTAGGGGAGGAAATAAAATCAGTTCCCCACATCTTTTAAAGCATCTATTGTGTCCTTTTAATTCCAGTAATATTCACTACCAATTACATGATATTTCCATGTGAAATTCTCAACGTTAAACAAATACCTCACCGGGAATAAAACAGAAACACTGAAAGGCCCGGCTTCTATTATAATGAATGAGAAGCCTGTCCGTCTGCGTCGTACAGTTGCTTGAGGACATTAACAAAAAACGCGACGTCAGTGAGGACCGGAGCAGACACTAACCCATAAGGCTAAGCTTATTTCGCATAAGCCATCGTGGACTTTCGTAAACAATAAGTTAAAGTTATTTATAAGTCAACTTTCTGAATATTCATAAGCACACGGAAGACTTTTCCATGATAATTCATGCAATGGGCATATAAGGAACCTTCTTATTTGATTTATATTAATATATATATAAAATGTTTATTTATAATGAGGCATATGTGATGTTGTCAACAATGCACCGCCACCAAGGTTTAGGCTGAGCTGCGCTATACCTCCGTGAAATGAAACGTGCGAGTCGCTGGCCCGTAACGTGGACCTGCAGAAGGTCACGCGGACACACGGGCCGACACCGCCGGTCGAACCGGAACCGAGCAAAGATCCTGCAAATACAGCCCAGCTCCTGGCTATCGCGCCACCTGCAAGGTGCGCACACAATTTTACCTCGGTTGAAGTAACTTTCTACCTAAATAGTACACTAACCAATTGATATAAACACACTTTATCCCCATATAGTAAGTGCCAGCCAGATAATATGTGAGCTACCTACGAAAGCAACCAGCTGTGACAGCGAGGCCAGGTTTTTACATTTTATGTGTTAAACTGAATTTTTAGAGAAACGTTTGTCCGTTTTTTATCATACCAATCTCTAAATGAGCTTTACTCCATTTTCTTTGTAATCATCTTCGTCGTTTATGGTAAAGAAATAACTGACCCGGTCGCTGTATAGAAGCCCGTCTACACCGTATAGGAAGCTTTAGCTGGCGCTCTTATGCAAAAAGAAAATGCTAAAATAAAAATTAAGCGATGAAAACGTCCAGCGGGCTTCTGTGTTTACCTTTTTATTGCTGCCCGGTGCTCCTGTGTCGCCCGCCCGGCAGTCTGGCCTCTCCTCCGGCTGACTGGCCGACGAGCTCGCCTGGCTGCGTCGTTATTAGACGGAGGGGCGTGAACCGGGCCGGGGCCAGAGCTGAAGCGGGGCTCTGCAGGGTGAAGGCGGCCGTTCCCTTCAACCGCGCCCGAAAACGGACCCAGGAGGAACCCGCTGTAGCTCTCTGCTTGCCCGGCTATGGATAGCAGACAACGCAGCGTACAGGGTGAGCTGTAGACCCTGCTGCCATTTTCGCGTAGCCGGCCTGCAGTTCCCGAGCCTCGACGGCAGGTGGTGCTGCGCCGCGTCGACCAATAGGCCAGACAGCGCGTAGTAAACATGGCTTTAGGGGGTGAGTCTCAGACTCAACTGATGTGAAGAAGAAATACAGAAGGAATAAAACGTACTACATACAGAAAGTTGCACATAATAATTTCTCTTTAAAATAATTCACACACTGGATGCGTAAAACAAGAGTTTTAATAATTCAGTAATTTCAAATGTATTGTATAGTTAATATTTATGGCATGGCGATAGTTTTTAAAACATTTACATGACACCCAAATAGTGTACGAACACACGAATATACGAATAGAATAAACATTGTTTTTAATAATGCAGTTCCCGATTATAATAGTGTTAATATGGTCATCGTTGTTCATGTTCATGTTCATATACTTAAAATCACTTCTGATTTAAAATCACACCAAAATATTTCAGAAAAGCTTTCTTTACGTGGGAAATGGAAGAGTTCAGCATTACGCTACAGTACAGACTATCTTCTACGCTCCATTTTAGAGACTTACATATCATGGTCACAAGGAATACTCACTCATGCGTCCCACATGTTTTTTCTGAGACTAAAGAAGCGCCTTCACTGGGCACCTCAGCTTCAATTGGCACATATTATGCACTTAGCTGCCAATTTATTAGATACATCTGCTTTTCTACACCAAACTACTAGCTCCTACAAACAGATAATCAGTCATATGGGTGCAACTCGGTATATATTACACGCGGGCACAGTCAAGAAGCTGTAACTGTCCACAAACCTCTATAATGGGCAGTACATGTGATCGTGATGTTGTTGGTCCAGCCTCTCAAAAACCGTCACTATGCCATTTAGTTTATAAGGGATGGTCAGATAAATTAAAAAGATCCACTTAAAGGGTGAACATTCTTTGTTTTTGCCCAGTCAGAGCAAAATGACCAAACTCATTAAAGCGTAGAAACGTGTAGAAACATCATGCACTGAAATCCCAGAAGAAAAGTTTCCAGTACCTTGTTGAATCCATACCTCAAAGAATTTGGGTTGTTTTATAGCTAAAAGTGAGTCCTAGCTGGTACGAGGTCGGTATAGTTAGTAAAATGGTGTATTATTAACAGTGTAGGTGTATTATTTATATAAACAGAAACGCATAAACTCTAAATGAGCAATTTATAGGGTACCCCTAGCTAATACTAGGTAGGACTCACCTCTGTCTCCAAAACCACTTAAAAGGTAGAATAATTGTGCCTTCAGATGCACTGCTACACCCCACAGGTGCAATGAGCTCTCATGTCTGCATTTGTGGCCATCCTGATAGCTTTAATGAACCCAGCCTTTCTCCTCTAACCCCCATCTCACTCACAATGTGTTTCTGGAGCAATGCCATGTACTGGATGATTTTCATAGAATCTGTCACACAAAAATCGCTGCAATCAGGCACTTTAGCCTCTCTAATGCTTAGTTGAACAGTCAGCAAACCACACGATTCACAGTTTGGGGAAGGCCGGCCGCTGGAAAATTTCGGACATTATACAAAATGTGAAAGCAAGAAAAATACACAACCCGAAACACTTCATAATACAAAACACGCTGCTCTTTCCAGAGCACAGATTATTTTTTATTAGTCTTCTACACAGCTACATGGGACAGTGTGTAATCAGTAGAACACGAATGGTGAGAGTCGATGATCTGGCATTTGTCATGTTTTTAACATCTCTATTGCCCTTGCACTAGTTGACTTCATGTTACTTGTATTGTGCTACTGTTCCTTCGGCGGGTGGCAGCATTTGTGTCGTAGGTAGCTAAAATGTGTTTCTTGAGTATGAGGGGAGGTGGTTTGTTACTTTAAGGTAAACGGTACAAGGTTAACCCACAAGTGTGTCTGACGCAGATGAGGGAGAGAAACCACTGTCCAGGTCTTGGGAAGGCTGGAGTAGTTAGAAAATGCTAACAGGACACAAGATCTACAGTGATATATTTAGTGAATGCAGGATGCATATGTTTCTGAGAGCCTGGATGAGGCAAAACCTCATCCTGAGTGCAGAAGTACAAGGAATTGTGAGTGTTGTGTGTGTTCGGGGGAGAGAAGTCCCAAACATTGGCATTAATTATGGGAATACAAAACTAAACCATCAAACACACCCATTAATCTTGACAAGCAGAGGCGGACTTAACTTCTCTGGGGGCCCTAGGCTGACATGAGTAGGGGGCCCCCTATGTGGGCCATTTGGGCTATTTTTTGGAGCCGAAAGAGAAACAAGAGTGAACTAAAAACAATGGAACATCAATAATATGTTGATCAAAGCACGGGGTCCCAGCGGTAAAAATCCAATCAGGGTAGCGGCAGGAGTACTGTTGGTAAAATTCGCCAATCGTGGGGGTTACGTGCAGACCTGCCAAATTTAGGAAGTTCAGCCATTCCCTCTTTCACTGTGGCCCTGGGCTGCAGCCTAGAAAAGTCTGCCCCTCCGGCTAAAGCTAGTCTGGAATTTTTGCACACTCTCGTTTAGTTGTGCCGTCTCCACATCTGTTCACATTTTGTCCCACTCTAGCCGGATACTGTAGTATCAGCATAGTGTTTGTGCCGTTTTCGGTTTCAGTTAGGCTGCTTTGTGCCGGGTCGCTTGGCAGTGAAGCCACCAGTGCCGTTAGACTCCAGTGTGAAAAGAAAGCTGAACAGCAAGTGAAGTCTCAAGCTGGAAATAATCCATTACAACTGGGATGGGGAAACTTCGTCTAACCTGAAAACTGTCACCACAAAGGCGAATAGCAGATAAATTGCTATAATTTAAATGATTCCATCTTATATTCATAAATGTCTGGAAATTCTGTCCTCATGGGGCCCCTAGTTCTCAGGGGCCCCGGAGGCTGCCTGGACTTGCCTTATAGTAAGTCCACCCCTGCTTACATGCCAACTCTGTCTGGGGGTGGTTTTCAACATTATTTTTTGCTGTCAAATTGGCCACGTCTCCACACGGACCAGACCATAGGCCGAAATCTATTAATCTGGAAGGGGGAGGGAGAATTACTAACAAGGATCACGGGCATATCCACTGGCTCAGTAGACATACCTGAATAGGGCCATCTGAAGACGTGCTTAACTTCATGAAAGGAAGTCTCAAATCACACAATTAAATGGCAACTGAGCCATGCGAGAAACCCTGACTTAGTCACTCATGGCCCATCGTCATTCCTAGTAACCATGGCAACCTCGATGCCATTTCATTGAAATGTTACTGCTCCTTAATGCCAGGTGACTGCATCAGCTTGGTGATAAACATAGTGGCCTGTACACCACCTGCTCAGAACCCAACAGAAACCCCACAGACACAAAGGCTAAACATGGCAGGTTAATGGGATTTGAAGAAATTCTGGCCCCAGCAGCACTGGGTCACTCATGGATACATTTTGTCAATGAAAAATGTTAAAGTGTTAGTATTTCTTAGTGTAAATTACGGTTCTGTACAATGTTAAAGTTTTGACTTTAAACATGTATAAAAGCCTCTCAATCAGAAATTGTGTAATCTTGATATGTTTCACATATAACATGATTAGCCTGGAAATTTCAATTTGAGTTCAACCCCAGTAAATTTTGGGCCCTTTCCACACATGCAAATGAAGACCAGTCTTCATAAAGCATCTTAGTTCATTACTTTGCTCCAGTGATCGAAACCCTGTGCATCGCTGTAATCTCCCAATCAATTAAGGAGACTCGTGGGGTCCCGTGAAAACCAACTGAGATATTTTATGGACAGTTTTTATCTGTAAGTGAAGCAGCAGGACAAATATTGCATTTGCAAATGGCCATGTTCATTCCCAGGATTCTCCATGAATAGCAGCCCATAGTGGTCATACAGGTTCAGGATACACCTATAAACAGAAAGGCAAAGTCTGTCTCACAGATCACAGGAAAATGCATTTTTTGTCAGTGGAGCTTCGCTCCCATGTGTGAAAAAAATGACAAACGGTCCTCGCACTTCAGTGACACCGTAGGCACAAAACCTAGAGTTGAATGAATGAAGGAAGTCAAATGTCGACGACATTTTACCCCACTATATTTCTAACTTTCTTCAAAATTAATATTCTAAGTGCTGTTAATTTCTCACAGGGCAAAAGGAGGAACCTGGAAATCAGAACAAAAATCACTTGAAAGGGATCAACTCCTGCCTGAAATACCAGGTCTTTTGGGACACAGAGAATCAGGACTTGGGAATTTGTGACTGAAACACACATATTCAAAGAGGCATAAGTGTTTCTGAAGAGTAACCCTACGCATAAACAGACACACATCACGCATATATGCCTGATTTCATGATTCTTCACGACACGTACACATCACTCACATCCTATATCTGTCGCCCTATTTCACACCTCCTCACCTGGAGTCTCCCACATCCGTTTCATTGCTGATCCCCCCGAAAGGACACTCACGAGCAGCAGAAGGGTTCACAGGACAGAACCTTAATCTGCCTGAATTTTGAAGCTCTTTGATATCTACAGTACAATAACTGAAGGAGGGGTAAGTGAGGAGGCAAAATAAGGGAATTTGGAATGGAAGAGGAATTCAAAGCATCGAGCGAGGTAAACTGACTGACTGTGGTGCATTGACCTTTGAGGCAAGAAAAACAACAAAGACCCTAAACTGTAACTCGCAGAGAAAAAAAACCCGTGTTGAATAAACACGGCTGCGTTGAAATGGTAGTTGCTTACAGTTATCTGTTTACAATTGGGATTTATTTCTTTTCCCTGTTCAAAAACCACATTTGGTGAGTATTAGGAAACGACAGTTTCCAGAGGGGGGGGGGGGGGGGGGGGGGGGGGGGGGGGGGGTTCATGGCAGCCCAGCTATGAGACGTACGACACACACGCGGTTCCTATCACAGATGTGTTACAATGTGTCACCAGGGACCCAAGGACGCGTGTTGCTTGCAATTTAGAGTCTTTGTGGACTATCTAAAAAAGTCTGGAGGGTTGTTTGTTAGGTAAGCCTCTGACAATCTAAAAGGGGGGGCAGAACTTGCCAGTCTCTCACTGTGAATAACCATGGTATTTTTGATGGCTTAAGACAAGTCTTCTAATCTCAACCAGTGGCAAACTGAGTGCATTTCATCTCTATAAGTTTCTGAAGTCTTGCCCTTCAGTGTTTTTTTTCCATTTCTTTCCTTTTCTCAAAACCAAAAAAAATCAAGGTTTGTTACATACAGTATATCTGAAAGTAGAATCCATTATTAAAATACCTAAAACATTTATAGTTTTCTTTCCCCCTAAAAGTCTTTAACTAATGTATCGGACATGTTCTAAGTTCGTGGCAAGGTCAACCCATACCTGAAAAGGTAGGAAGAAAGTTGAGGGAAACAGTACCAGACCACCTCTGCTGGCAAGTAGTCCCACCCCTAGAGCATAACCCCGCCCTCTTCACTTAAGCCCAACCCCCAAATAAGTAACTCCACCCCCACCAAAAAGCACCATTTGTAAAATTCGGTTATTTCAAAGAGACTCTCCCATAGGTTGAATGCGAGTCTCAGAAACAACTAGACTTGTGTCATATAAAAGATGTAAAGGGAGACGCTCTTCAGAACTCCCATTCCAGTGTCTCCTCCTTATTGGCAGCACGCTCCAGCCGGTGGATGATGCTGTTCAAGTTGGCCACCTTTTCCTTTCGCTTCTGGGCACTCCTGTTAAGCCTGAGGCAGGGTGGGAGCAGGGGGTCCAAGTCACGGCCGCCATTGGGGTTTGGCGGGCTGGGGGAGATGGGGTCTGAGGAGGATGGGATGGGGGAGATGGACACGACCAGGCCAGGCGAGGAGGCGGCGGATGGAGAGTTGAGGGAGACTTCCAAGCTGCCACGTGAAGGCTCCGAGGATGCTTTGAAGCTGACAGGATCCACTGAAGACTTGTTGGGGTCTTCAGCCTCCGACCCTGATGGGGCCGCTCTCTGTGCTTCCAGGAAGGCTCCCAGACCCCGGCTGGATGGTACCTCATCCTTCTGAAGGCTTTTGGGACAGCACTGGCCAGGTGACAGTTCTTTGCAGCTACCCTCTGGGTCTTCAAATTCCTTTTTAACCAGGTGGGGGAATCTGACACCCTTGTTGACATGATTCGCCTCTCCGTGTTCTCGGGATCTTTCCAGAGCCAGAACATCCTCCTCCTCCTCCTCTTCCATTTTGACAGAAACAAGGGCCCCAGCAGAGCCCGGAGGGCTGCTGTGATGCAGATCCCGGTGTCCCTCCGGCCAATCAGAGGCGGGACTTTGTTCTGAAGGGGAGGGGCTACAAGGTTCCACCTCCACGTCGTTTTCTTGCCCCGACTCTTTCTGGACATTGCGTCGCATCCGAGACCTGCATGGGAAAATAATCGGGGAAAGTTAAACTCCAAACTCACAGCACGGGGACAGACCCTGAACACCCAACCGGGAAGGAGTGAGACTAGCAAACATGCACACTGATGAATTGGCAATAAATTCCTTCATTATATAATAACGACTATGACAATAAGGTAAACAGGGCAAAGCAGGTAATCTGGGGAGCCCAGTTTCCCAACACGACCTATGTGCTGATCTCAGTCACTCCACCCCAGTGCACACCTGTAGTTGTGGAACCAGTTGATGACCGTATTGGTCTTGAGGCCGAGCTGGGAGGCAAGCATCTCCACCGTCTGCTGGGATGGGTAGGGCTCTAGGACGTAGGCCTTGATCAGAGCCTCCTTCTCCTGGGATGCCAGCACTACTCGGGGCTTCTTGGCCGGGCCATAGGGGTCCCCAGTGGGCATCATCCCCGGGCTCACGCTGTCAGAACGACTGCTGGGCGAGTCACTGTCCGAACCTGGGCCCAGCAGCCCATATCTCCTCTTCATACAGACTGGGGAGGGGAAAACGCAACAGGTGAGTCAGAAGGGCATGTGTACACATACACACAGAGTCAGGGACACGCATAGAACAAGGGATACAGAGTCAGGGACACACATAGTACAAGGGACAGACAGTCAGATAGAGTCCAGGACACACATAGTACAAGGGACAGAGAGGGACACACACAGTACAAGGGACAGAGAGTCAGGGACACACATAGTACAAGGGACAGAGAGTCAGATAGAGTCCAGGACAGACATAGTACAAGGGACACAGAGTCAGACACGCATACACACACAAAGTCAGGGACACGCACAGTAAAAGGGACACAGACAGAGTCAGACACACACACAGTACAAGGGACAGAGTTACACAATCACACACACACATAGAAGGACAAAATCAGAGGGATCGACACACAAAGACAGACACACACAGTAAAAGTGACACGGAGTCAGACACACACACATATACACATACATAATGGGACAAATTCTGGGGTCGACCCACACAGACAGGGACACACACACAGTCAAACACACACACACACCTTTCTTCTCCATCCTCTTGGTGTCCCTCAGCTTCTCCACGTTATGAGGGTCACTGAGCCACAGCTGCATGCGCACAAAGGGCTCTCTGCCCTTCAGGCTCAACTTGTGCCAGGGTTTGGGTCGGGAAAGCAGGTCCGACACGGAGCCCTGCGTCAGGCCCAGGACGCTCTCGCCGAACAGGCGTTGGCCTGGAGCGCACACACACACACACACACACACACACACACACACACACACATAGCTGAAACCCCTTGCTGGCTCAGTGCTAGGTTCTCACACCCAAGCAGGATTTAGCATCTAAACGGCTCACTGCTTCTCTGATGGCTCTCAAACAGACTTCAGGTTCCCTGATAATCCTGTTCGTGCCACAAAAAAGCAAAATCTTGCCTTTGGTCCTTCGGGGTAACATAACTGCCCTTCTGTCAGATAACTTCCCAAGACGCCAAGCACTGGCTGTAATTTGATTTGTTCTGCTTCAGTGCTTTAGCCAAACTGTGGTCGAACTGCCCTCGGTAGGTTCCAAACCCCACCCAGGCCTGACTTACCCAGGTTGTTGTCAGTTAGAACCTCCTTCACCCTCTTGGTGACCAGCTGGGTGTCAAGCTCGGGGGACAGGCCCACAAGGTCCTGGATGCCCAGCGCAGCGTGGCACGTGCCTGGCCGCAGGGGGGCCACCCTGGAGGCTGGCTCCTGGAGATGGGCGGGGCCTCCTGGACGCTGGTTCTCCTTGCTGCCCTCTCTGGACAGGGCGACTGGCTCCACCTCAAGCTCCGACCCATCCTCCTTGGGGCTGGGGAGGGGTGATGGCGGGCAGTGTGACATCATGGGAACAGGATTTGTATCTATGGGGAGGGCGACAGGTTAAACATCACTAAAGAGGTCATGGGTTCAGTTCCTGTGCCTGTCTGGAGTAATCATATCATGATCAGCCCCGTGAGCAAGGCCCTTAGCCCCTTAACTGCAGGACAGGGAAGCCACACCTCATAAGGAAAGACAATGAGTGGGCGTGTACCTGGGCAGAGGCTCTGATTGGCCGGCTGGCTCAGGCCCTGGCCCAGCTGGTCCTGCAGCCACAGCTGCATGCGGATGAAAGGCTCACGGCCCTTCTGGGTCAGCTTGCCCCAGGGCTTGGGACGGGAGAGCATGTCACTCACGCTTCCCTGGGACAGGCCCAGCACCTGTGAGAAATGACGGCAAGCACAGTCAGGAAAGTCCTGGCTCGGTCCAGTGTGACAGAGGCAGGCAGCTTCAAAACAGCACTGCATCACTAACTGGATCTGCCCAAATGACTGCTGAAGAGCAGGGTGTGCGAGTGACAGAGACCTTCTCCCCAAAGATCCGCTGGCAGATGCCACTCTTGGCCAGCTTCTCCTTGACGAGCCGTGTGAGCTCGATGGTGTCCACCTCGCGGTACATGTACGTCTCATACTGCTCGGGGGTGAGCGGCGGCACTGTGGGCTTGAGGGCCCGTGGAATGTAGGCAGCGTAGTAGGCCGAGCCACCGCTGGCACCCTGGGGGTCCCCGCTGACCGAGAGCTCTGCTGCCTCCATCTTCACCACCGGCCGCGGCCCCAACTCGCCTGCCGCTGCCTCGTCACCATCGCTGTTCCTGTCTTTGTCGGGCTGACGCCCCGAAGAGGAGAAGGAGGAGGATGAGGAAGATGAAAGTGAGGGGGAGGCGGGGCTCAAGGGCCGTGTGCCTGCCGCGTCCCGCTCAACGGCCCAGTGGTGCTCGAAGTAGGCTCCTGGTTCCCCAATCTCAGATTTGACCTTGCGGATGATGCTCTGCACAAAGGCAGCCGGGGAGAGGACACTCAAGGGGGCCTGGGGGCAAACGGCCCCCTCCTCCCTTTTGACAGTGGCGGGCAGAGGCGGTGGGGGGTGGCTGGGGGCCCAGCCGCATGTCTCCATCTCCTGCAGCGCCTGCTGCTGCCGCTGGGCCTGCATCTCCATCCGCGCTCGCTCCAGGATGCTCTTGATGGTGTCGTCTGAACTGTTCCTCCCAGAGTTACCTCCGCTGGGACCGCCACCAGTTACAGGGCCATCTAGGGGGGGCTTGCCATCGTCTTTAAGACAAGAGGGACACCAGAGAGACGGGAGGAGGTCACCTTCACCCAGTTACATCCACAAGATCAGGGGTCTCCAACTCCGGTCCTGGAGAGCTACTAACTAGTAGGTTTTCTATCCTACTTGGCTTCTGATGAGCCACACTAGTTCTCAGGTAAATACCAGGAGCAGGTGTGGCTCATCAGAAGCCAGGTAGGATAGAAAACCTACTAGTTAGTAGCTCTCCAGGACTGGAGTTGGAGACCCCTGCACTAGATGGTCCACTAGCCGATGCCTAGTGACCACTTATCTGTTGAGGAGGCCATGGAGACCCTGGAGCCCAGGATGCAGGTGACAGATGCCCTGGGTGGGTGTCAGTCCATTGCAGGGCTCACACTGTCACACACAATCACACTGTGGGGCAATTTTGAGGTGCCAATTCACCTGAACCACATGTTTTTGGACTGTGGGAAGAAACTGGAGAAGCAGAAGGAAGCCCATGGAGACTAAGGGAGAGCATACAAGCGGCATGCTTACGCCAAAAGCACCGTCAACAAAAACAACCTACTTCCTCTCTGTGACTGGATCTCCTTCTTGGCTTGCTCCAGGATGCTCTTGATTGCATCATCAGACCCAGTCTCTGGGGTTCTGATGCGAGGAGTAATGCTGCCTGTTGGGGGTATTGGGGACAGGTACCTCATCATTTACAAACTCTAGAAAGCTAAATGAAGAACTCAAAATGTAAGAGAGAGTCGAACACTGCAAGCAGTTTGGAGACAGTGATTACAGAGGGAGAATCTGCAAACTCCACATACAGAGCAAAGGCAGGTTTCAAACTCAGGCTCTGATTGGCCGAATCATGGGCACTCCCCTCACGGCAAACACCCCGCCTACCTCGCTGGCGAACCTGGATGGTCCGCAGAGCCAGGATGTTCTGCTCGTCGGACAGGAACTGCTTCATCTTGACGAACGGTTCCTTGCCCTTGACGGTGAGCTTGCTCCAGGGCTTGGGCCGGGCCAGGATCTCACTGACGGAACCCTGCGACAGGCCCAGCACGTAGTGCCCGAACACACGTTGCCCGATGTTGTGCTTCAGCAGCTGTTCCTTCACCTGGTGGGCAATCTCAGACGTCTCCAGTAGCTCCTCCTCTCCCACACCCCCGCCATCTGGTTGGCTGCCAGGAGGCTCCGCCTCCCCATCCTCGGCCCTGCCCCCAGCCTTCGAGGTGGGGTGGGGGTTAATGGGGAAAGGCGAGACAGCAGGTCCTTCCTTCTTGTAGGGAGGGGAGAAGACCGGCCTCTGAAGCAGAGGCTCGGTGACCAGCCTTTCAGCAGGGAGGGGAGACGGCTTGTAAGGGCGCTGGGGGAGCCCGTGGGGGCTGGGATATAGGTCCGGGCTGGTTGATTCACTCTTGTCCAACTGCAGGACCCCCTGAGGAGAGCCACAAGCCCCTTCCGGCCTCCCCCCCTCCCTGAGAGCCTCGTCCTCCGACCGACGTTCCTCTGCAGAGCAGAGACAGATGGGGTTTATGGTGGCACTGGCTTATTTGGGGCTAAGGATGCTAATGTTAACAAGACGACAAACACCCATCCCCTGGATAATGGTTAACGTGTGTTACAAAGCACGTCCTTACACTGCTTTAAATTAAGATGAAGGTTTAATGGCATGTGAAATGTGACTGTCTGTATAACAAGCCTTACAGGCCTGAGAAACCCTCAAATCCCAACCCTCAAGTCTGACAAGGCTTACACTTTATAACAGTTAACACTGTGTACTGTAGATTTCAGCCACATCTATAGGTACAATCAGACTGGGATTCAGAGTTTTCTGGTCCTGTTTTTCATGCCTTCTTCAGATATCTCCTCAGCTTCTCCCTGCTATAAAGCAGCATTTCTCAATCCGGTCCTCGGGGATCCGCAGCCGTCCCACGTTTTTGCTTCCTTTGAGCTCATTACCAGACAGTCCACATTCTTGCTCCAAGCAAGAACGGCTTTATAATATGAAGAAGCTGAGGTGATATCTGTAAAAGGCATGAAAAACAGGACCAGAAAACTCTGAATCCCAGTCTGATTGTACCTATAGACATGTCTGAATTCTACAGCAAACATTGTTTTATACTTGGAATTACAGAGAAAAAAATCTTTCATAATTTTTACTGAATAACAGTGAGGTTCTGCACAGGAATTAGGAGATTCACAATACAATTAGTTGGTCTATGGACCTTCAATGAAAAACTGAACAGCTTGTTTTGTATTCCCTTCTATCACAGAATTAACCCTCCAGTGAGACCCCTCCCCCCAGTACCAGAGCTGCATGGGACGCCGTGCTTGTCCCCTTTGCGTTTCTGGACCATCTCTCTGTCCATGGTCTCTGCAGCCTTCGGAGAGCCCTATCAGCGAGGGGGACAGGAGTCCGCTTTGACCTGAGGCTTCCGACAACACTTCCCAGCATTCCACATGTTCACCCACATAGCAGGGCATAAGCAGAAGCCAGAGGAGTGCAACTGTAAGGATGGTGCCCACACCTTAGGGTGGGGGAGGGGGAGTCTCTCACCTGCAAACAATTTCCATTGGCTGAGACCCTCCTCATGGACTTCAGAATGCTGTCAGTGACAAAAACAACAACTTTGGTACAAACATCACTGAATACTTACAGTGTATTATACTGACAGGTGCAGAGTCTCACCTGAGTTCAGTTTTAATTTTCTCATAATCCAGTTGAGATCGCAGTTTGGCTTCCAGCCTCTGAGAAATAAACAGCTGTTTAATTCACACAGAGCCGGTAACACAGTCACATGTCATGGGTTTCTGAGATTACATCACCCTGCAAGCACTAGGAGCAACGTTCTCAAAGTAATTACATCCACTTTCTGTAACACATTGTCATCTAGACAACCGATACCTGTGTTTCAGGCTCAACCAAGATGTACCTCTATAGCTTCTGCCTTCGTGGCGAGCTGCCGTTCCATCTCCGCGATGTGATTGGCTGAGCGCTCCTGGGTGTCCTGCATGGTGCGCTGGAGTGCCTGCACATCCTCCTGCAGCCGCGCTGTCTCCCTGTCTTTTGCCAGCAGGGCGGCGCTCACATGTGACGCACTGCGCGCTGACTCCGCCCTCTCCTGTTTCGCAGAGAGACCGACCTTCATCTTCAAAAACTTTAGCCTCTGGGAAGAACCTGATGTTCCACAAAAATCCCTGCTAGCTTCTGAAATCCATATACAAACCGGAGTGAAAACCTACCTTGGTGGCACCCTGTGCTGGGGGGCAGGCTGCCAGCTGTTCCCGCAATCTCTCCACCTCCCTCTGTGCTGTCTCTGCTCTCTGAAACAGGGCCCGTTCCTCTGGTATTAATCATACATTTATTTCCTCGTTCTCACACACATACAGACAATGGCCTCCTGTCAGACAAGATCAGGGTGTCAGAGGGAGAAGATGGGAATCCTACAGACTAAGTGAGAGGTGTCTCATTCTGCCACACAGCCCCCTCTGCTGTGTGCGACCGGCTCCAGGTCCCCTCACAATACTGTACCGAAGAAACTTCTGGAAGATAGATTTTATATCCATAAAAATGTACCCCTCCCCCCATTCCCAGACTGCTCCTCAGCAGGAAGACCCTGACAGCAAGTTGAGGGAGACCAGGCTGCAGTTAAACCTTAAGTGGGCCAAACTGAGCAACCTGCATGCTCTTCCTGTCCACAGAAGGGCCCCTCCCAGGTCAGCGTGCACAGGCAGGCCGGCACGCTCTCGACCTGGTAATCAACACCTCACTGAGGGAGCCTGGGGGGGGGGGGCGCAATCAGAGGTGAATAGGGTGGCCTCTTTACTGGTCACCCCCTCCATCAGAGGCACTCCACAGCCTCTTGTCTCAAGATGCCTTCTGATTACAGACAGGGATAATCTAATGAGCCAATCAGTGACCCTGTGGGCCGTATGCGTGAATGTGTGTGTGTGTGGGGGGGGGGGCTCTCACCTGGTTCGCCTTCTCCAGGTCAGACATCATCGCCACAATTTCTGCTGTCCTGAAATACACAAGGCCCCTTTGTCGACGTGGTAACGGCACCATGACGCTGACATACACACAGAGACCACCATGAGTCACATAGCGCCCCCACCAGTCACACAGCAACAGGACAGCTGAAACTCTCTTTGGAACAAAAATTTACAGGAAAATATACAATGAAATACCAGAAAATGTCATATAAGGGTGAATTTTTAAGAACTGCTTTTCTAAGATCAAAAGTAGGTCTAGTAATAATGGCACAAACCCAGAAACTCGTCCAACAATTACAGCTCTGAATCCCCAACATTTACAGTTATTTCTTCATTCCACTCATCAATCAATATTTTTGCCAGATCTCCGCTTCAGCGTATACTCACATTCTGTTAGCTGTAATGAAAATCACAAATCATTTTCCCAGAGATGGTAAGAAAAGACCCCCCAATATCAAAAGTCATAGCTAGATATTTTATTAGGACAAATTGTTTAATACAATTGAAACCGTTCAATATGCCTCAAATTGCACTGTTCCTCATCCTGCTGGACAACCGGCAATTTAAATGTTAAGAAAGTACTGGGAACGGTGTGTATAAATGAACTTGTCGTCATTTGCTAAAATGCGATGATGTTGCACTTGTGGATCACACATCTGGTTAATTCATCAAGTTTTAACCTAGACATCTTCGCTATTGAGTGACAAGTCTGAAAATGAGCAGCAGGGGGCGACATTCACAGCCAAGATGCACGTACTTGGAGGCCATCTCCTCTCTGTACTTGCAGCGCAGGTCCAGCAGCTCCCTCTGCGTGGCTGTCAGCGCTGGGCAGGAATTACAGGGAAGGGCACATTAACCACTGACCTCCAATTAACCAGCCAGATTCATTTTACAGACACAGCAGGAGCTCCGGGACGCTCCTCCAAGAGGAATCGCACCTGAATGAAGGACCCGGATGTTCTCCTCAGCCTCTGCTAGCCTGGCTGCTACGGCCATCTCCGCCTCCTCGGCCTCCCTGAGAGAAAGTCAACAGTCAGTTCACAAAACTAAGGTTCTGCTCATTAAAAACCATTCAGTCAAATCAGTGATGGAAGAAGTAAAACCATTACTTCTAGTGTACAGTCACAGATGATCAGTCCAGTTTCCTGTAATATAGGGATGGGCAATCTTACCCAGAAAGGGCCGTTGTGTGTGCGGGTTTTTGCTGCAAATCCCTCATTAGATTACTAATTAGAAGACTGATTGGCTGGAGTCCTCACACCTGGGTTTGAACAGCTGACCTAAAGGTTCCTGAAAACCTACATATGCACTGGCCCTTTGCGGATAAGATTGCCCACCCCTGCTCTAATGGGTAATGGGTAACCATACAACAATTTGCCCAATTTTAGCATCCCTGAAACACAGGGTTCAAACACAGATATGCACAAATCACAGTATTTATATCATGCAGCATACACAAGTATGATATGAAAAACTATGATTCGTGCATAAACTGAAGGGATCAACAGTGCAAATAACTGATGTAATAGTGAAAGTGGGTGGAGCCCAAATAGTTGTGTACCCCTCTGATTGGCTAGTGTATTTCCGTTCAGAGCACGCTTTGACTCTGACAGGCTTTGCAATTTTGCCTCCCTCTGATGCCATGGTAGCCAATCCATCCACTGAGCGTTCTGTGGGAGGAACAGGAGGACAAAGGAACAGGTTCAGCGTGGCAGGAGGACAGAGGAACAGGTTCAGCATGGCATTCTGTGCGGTCAGTCCTGACAGCACAGAGCATAAGGCCCCTTCGGGGTCCTGACCGGGATGAGCCGGGCACTTTTGGCGTCTCCCCCAGTGCCTGCTGGGTTGGCTGACCACGCCTGCGCCTGCAGAGTCTGCGTTCGGGAGCTGGGGCAGCCGCTCCTCCAGACAGCACGCGGCTTCCAGCATGGGGGCAGGGTCTGGGGGGGACAGACACAAAAAGCACACAGGTCAGATTCAGCAGCCATCATCTCCACCAGGCTGCACTGACGTCATGTGACCAATAACCAAAGCAAGCAAGACACACCCACCTAAGCATCTCCCTCCCCAAGGGTGGCTAATGGAACATAAACACCCCGGGAACCGTCTCCAGAGATGCTGGCTAACAGCATCCAGCACCTGCATCGAGGGGGTTCATATCGAAGTTCAGAAAGGCCTTGAGGGTAAAGTCTCCTGGTCACATGACCAGCAGCTCACCACAGAGACTGGCGATTGGCTGCAGGTCTGTGACTAAAACAGCAGGGCGGCGCTAGTAAGCATCACACCAGGTAGAGCCTCTCCACTGACCAGGCCATCCCGCTTCTCCACAAGGGGCATTTCTGGTTGCCGGAGGAAATGACATCATTTACCTGCGAGGTAATGCCTGTCCACAACACCAGGCAGTCAAACTTCACACAGACTGAGGGGGGAACAAAGCAAACCAGAGCAATGAATCAATAGCAAGCCACCCCCCACCACATGAACCCGTGGACCATCCAGCCAGAGCCAGGTGACAGAGGACAGGAAGTAGGTCATTCTGCTCCAAGAGAAACCCATAATCCGCAGAACTGGACCCGTGGGGGGTGGGGGGTTACAGCCAAGTGCAAGGACGCCTTGAGGACCTCCACTTTCCTCTGTATCTCAGGCCGAGGGGTGCGTGGGGAGCGTGGCCATGGGAATCCACGCGCTGACATCATGGGTTATCTCCCCAGTGGCTGAACAACATGGCTGAGCCAGTGCTGAGACACAGGGGCTTAATTATCAGGCAAGAGGGGGGGGGCTTTGTGTTTACAGAACCTTCATCTACGCTCCAGGATTTATATCAGAATAGCTATCATTTATTATTATTATTACTATTATTATTATTATAAATGATTATTATTGCTACTATTAACATAATAATGTTGCAGTTGCATGCACAGCTGGATATGAGTTGCATCCTTAACCACAGAGCGCCACCCCCAGACCAAATCCCCGTCACCTACCGCAGCCGGGGGGTATAATCGGAGTGTGGGGCAGTAGGACAAAGACGGTCCTTGGCCCTGCCGGTGAGCCGCTGCTGTTGTAGCAGGACGCCCCGTTAGCTCTCGCCGGACCGGCTGTAATTACGCCCCGACATAAATAACCCAGTGAGCCCATTAGCACTGGCTGCAGAAGGAAAGCAAACAGGGAGGAAGGTAACGCCGTAATTAGTTGTTTGCATATTAATGAAGCCAGCTGTGAGGAGTCGCAAATAGCTGATTTTACACGCTGCAATCCCAGTGTTTGTATCAGCCAGCCCATTATCTGTGGGGTGGGGGGGGGGGGGTTCACACGGCTGGGGTCTGGACCCTTCTCGGCAAGAAGCCGGCAACGTGTGTGCTAGTTTCGGCCATGAACGTGAACTCCAGCTAGATATTTCCGCTTTTAGGAACTCCCCCCTCAAACACACACACACACACACACACACACGTTCGTGACATCAGGCCATCTCCAAGCCTCTCACAAACATCCATTACTAACTCTCCTCCATCTCAGGAGCCTCCGCCTACGACCGTCGCCCTGAATCATCCCTGCAGCTCTCACGCTTCGCAGAGCTGTCCTTCCGCATTACTCCTGAGTAACCACCAGATCCCCCTCCACCCCACCCCAGGCTGTACCATGAAGATGCTCGCTACTGCCCTCTCCTGGCACCAAGGTTCCCAAAGCACAATATTTAAAATGCCAGTTTTAAACACTGCGCAGATCAGTAGATAACAGAAACACCCCCCCACGCAGGGTGATGCACACACCCCACCACTAAGACTTCCAAGCCATCAACTGACAGGATAGACTTGCAATACCAATGCTCACCACCAGCATGCGCTGTTGCCTAGATATTCTCTCACTGGCACAGTTTCCACAAGAGGCAGCAAAGGTTTCTGTAAACCCGGAGAAGTCAAGCGCAAATAAGTGGGAAGCGGGTGACAGCAGCAGAAGGCACACCGACAGGGAAAGGTGAGCGTGTGAAAAGTAAAAGTGCTCTGCCTTTGGAGAATTGGTCCAGCAAGCAGCGAAACGGACGACTTCATAGCGGAATCACTCCTGCCGTTTCATCAGCACCTGAGCTGCAGCTGCTCCTGAGCCTAACACCCATGGAGCCGAAACAGGAAAGTAAAGAACACAAAAATGGCGCTCAGAGGGACGCCGTCACACGGGTATCACTGTCACGCCGGGCTACACCGCCCCCCCCCCTCAACTCCATTGGCTCCCAAACCCACTCCAAGCTGATTGGATTAATCAGCTCATTTTCAAGTTCCTAATTAGTCGGATCAAATTCACTGGAAGCAAAATAACGAACATACTGAGTGGCTGGCACCGCTGATCTGAAGTGTTTTTTCTGTATTATCGTCTGAAATTAAGTGGCACCCAAGTGCCATGATGTTTTCCGGACAGGCGTTTTGGGAAGACCGGGGCTCTTTGAAGCTCTTCGCAGAAATGAGAGGAACAAAGCCGGAGTGTAAACATGCATTGTTTATCGGGAGCCAGGAAACCTGGAGTCTCTGGCTCGATAGGGAGCGTAACCTCTGACACGCCGACGGCGGTCAGCACAGTCAGGTGGACAAGCAGCAGGACACGTGCTGGTTCGTCTTTAAGGTTCCCGAGGGACGTTATGCTGAAGATGTCTGCCGTCACGGGGAGAAAGACCCCACACAGGGCAGATGGTGGTATTTCAAGCAGGTGCCCACACAGGGAAGACCTGTCATCTCTCCATCTTGGAGACAAACCAACTGATCTGCTGCTTGCCACGTTTCTGCCAACAGGAGCGCGCCGTCGATCCACTGAGAGGCATTTGGCATTTAAACAGCCCACTGTACGTGCCCCGCCTCCCGCGACAGCCACACATGCCTCTTACCGCCCCCTTCCTGCCGGACTTACCTATGTCCACTGGCAGCTGCTTATAGACCCCCGGAAAGGTGGACTTGGCCTCCTAGCTGCACCAGCTCAGTGCTGCCACCTGGAGATGAGAGACATAGATCACCACGCGGCAGAGTAATGTCCGAACCTAAGGGCTTTTTATCAGCTAGATGAAGTAAACAGACAGGTAGACAGCACTTATTATCCCTCACAGCTGGCTATCGACAGGCAGAAGTCATTAAACAAGAACAAACAAGAACAAACGAAAACAAACGCTTCACTCTTATGACGCATCACAGATTGGCAGAAGAAAACAAACAGGGCCCTCTGCTCAGAGCCCCTCTTCCTCCACTGAGCAGCCCCATGTGGCCTTAGTAACCAATCAGAATGAGGCAGGACTGCCCAGGACCGCTGCCTCACCCCAGCATCCTGACAGAGGTTGGGTTCAGGATCGCAGAGACTCTCTATGTCTGCCTGCTGCAGGGAGGGGGGATTCTGACACACTGAGGCTCAGAGGCTCTCATACACCCCCAGTCTCAGCTGCGACACAAATGGAAGGCAATGGAAGAAACGAGGTGTGTACAGTTACCATGCACTGTCAATCACTGGTTTAACCCACTTTTCATTGGCTAATTCAAGGTTGTCCTTAAACTGGGCGGAGACAGCAAACATTCCAATCAGCCCTTTCCTATGCAACAGGCCCCACCCCTAAGCCACTGTTCCTAGTTCTTAGGAGACCACCCCTCTTAGGGGGCGTGGCCACATAATGGAGGGATGGTCATAGGGGGTGTGTCACATCGCAAGCTATCCTGCAAAGATTCTTCAGGTGGCTCAGCTAAACTTCCCACGCAGGACACTGTCAGTTCACGGCCATTTAAGGCACAGATATGGCCTGTTAACACCGCAGCTATCTCTCTGGGGGCTTTCCTATTAACGAGCGAGAGTAACGAGTTCCGGAAATTAATCTGAAGGAGATGGCTGACTGTTACCTCCCCAAAATTCCAATGAAGCTCTCGGAATCCGGCAGCACCTGGGTGTTACCCGGTTCTTTTTGTTCTGTGTTTATTATTTTATAGTGAGTAGCGTGGATGTGGGGGTGGGAATAAGTAAATAAATCTGACCACTCTGGGTCCTCGCTGCCAAAGAGCTGTCCGTCAAGGGGGAACATTCGACCAAATCTAAGGACCTCAGGGCCCAGATCAGCTATGCAAGTGGTGATAAGTTCAACGCCATCGTGCCAGATGCCATTGTGGGGGAGACTGGGGAGCATGGAGTGTTCTGGAAAGACGCTTTATTTATTAGGATGGGGGGGGGTAACAGAGTGAGAATGATGAAACGTGCGTTCGTACTCAGAAACACTGCTGAAAATAGAAAGCTCGCATAGTTAGGCAGGGCAGCCTGGGGACACAGACATGCAGACAAACCCCCCCCCCAGGTAGGGATCCTCTTCACAGGATTCACATTCAGGCAGAACAAAGGCGAGAGGAGGGTTTCTCTCCTTTAAAAGCTTTCCCCCCCGTTCTTAGCTCCCCGGTCCGCTCCCTGGGCAGCACCCCCCCCCGATCCTTGTTTTCCAAACACTGAAAAGCTCGTAGGAAGACGACACAGGTCACCCAACACCGGGGAAGGGTGGCGGGGGGGGTGGGAGGTGGCGGAGGCTTTCAATCCTGGTGCCTGAGCCTTGAGATGACATTTCTATAACAGAGCGGGGGAGAGAAACACAAGCAGCACGCTCGACTGGACAGCAAAGTGCTCGCGTTTCCCCACGAGGCGGCAAAACCGCGGCCATTTCCAGTCGGGGGGGGGGGGAGAGACACACATCATAAAGATTAAAGATTTAGCAAATCCCCCCCAACGCAGGCAGCTCTCTGAAACAGCGCAGCGGCAACACTTAACAGACAGGCAGCCTCTCGCTAAGCTACTCCAAGCTTACGCAAAGCGCCAGGGCAGCGCTAACACCATCAATTGGAGGGAGACCGGGCCCAGCTGCCAGACGGACGGGCAGAGCCGTGACACTTTTTACTTCCGGGTTAGAGGTCGCGGACTGCTACGGCTCCTTTGCCTAATGGCACAAATTAGTTTCTCCCATGACTCCATCTCACTTGCATTTTGGTCTTTGCTTGCTGAGTGTATAATCATCCTGTGTACGTTTTTGTAAATAATCCAATGCTCTACTGAGAGTGGTTTAGAGGCCAGACTAGGGGTCATGGGGCACAGTGATGAGGAGAGCGGCATTTCTGAAAACGGTCCAGCAGCTTCTGCCTCAAACCCCATCCAACAGCCTCCAAGGCTGCCAGAGCTGCGGCGAGATTTCGCTCCGTCTAGGTGGGTAGCGGCTCAGGCGGGCTGGTGGGAAATCGGCTGATGGCACCAAATGCCTTATGGGTCAAAGAGGCTGGCATCACCGAATGGCAGAGTTTGGTCTGAGAAGACAGGAAAAGACAGAGCTGGGCTGGAGAACACAGAAAGCGAGTAAGCTAGCAGAGGAGAAGAGCATGACGCGAGAATGGCACGCCTGAAATGAGCAATTATGCAGTCATCAATTACAATTATAACAAGTGGTGATTACGCAATTATCACTCTAAATCCCTGGTCTTTTAAGCCCCACCTTCAGCAGGCTGCCAGCTGTGATATTTTTGAAGCTAATCTCTGGATGCGTAGCGAGGTGTCTGCGTACGTGCCTCTGCTGCCTGGGTCCTGTTTTTAATGTCTTCTGACATCAGCCCATGACTCACTGGCCCACATGCGATTAGTCTGTCTCAGCAAACCACCCCCCCCCCCCCCCACCACCACCAAACTGTAAGATCAGCCTCCCTGAGGCTGCATTTGGCACACGCAGCCCCCAGAGGGGAAGATAAGGCACCAGGGTGAGACAGATGAAGACAGGACAGTCCAGAAATATCATGACAGAGGGAGAGGAGATAGGGCAGGATACATGATACACGCGTGTGACACAGCCGTAGCGGGGTCGCCGTGTTACGGGGGGTGTTGCGGGTACAGTGGCCATTTCACACACCGACCGTCATTCAAATTCCGCCTTTGCAGCAGGAGTTACACAGCCATCTCTGCAGGGAATGTTATCACACTGAACAAATAACAGTCAATACATCACATATGATAGGAGCAGTAAGAGTGAAATGTAGAGGTTGACTTCTCACCTTTTCTTGACACCTTTTCTTTTTATAACAACAACAACAATAATAGTAATAATAATAATACAACTGGAAAAGATGAAAGGGCTTGCCAGAAAGATAAACACAAACATTTTCTGTTAGTGTATGGCCAACCAAAGACTTGCCCTGGGTTATATTTTCTAGGGAATTTTAAAGGGAATCTGTACAGAAAGAACCCGAAGGCTGTACCTGTGACTATGCATATCTGGCCGGGAAATCAACACACAAAGGCCCCAGCAACGCCCCCAGACAAACAGGGAAAAAGGGAGAAGACTGAACAAAAACGGAAAAATATGTCTTAAAGAATATGAAGGTCTTTGACGGAGAAGTCACAGACGGATCGCTAGGAAATCAAAACGACGCGCTGGGTGTCAGAAAAGACTAAATCACAGAAGACAAAAGATACACCCAGAGGGGGGATGAGATGGGGAGGGGGTTTCTGTGCTCGGGAGGATAAAACACACACGTGGGAAGCGGCGGGTGACTGCGTAACGCGCCATTCGTAGCAGCACACCCAGGAGACACACACCCTGTGGATGAACACCCCCTGCAGGCTGAGCCAGATAAGCTCACACCACCAGAATAAACCAGTAAGGCAATTATCATGGCGGAACGCATGACAGCCCGATTAATTAGCCATGTTAGCGATGCCATCGTTTTAGCGTAGCAGCCCGACATGCCAGCGCTCTTTACAGAACAAAACTCTTAATTATGGGTTTGTGCAAAGGGGGAGGGCTGTGTGCTGAGGTCGGGGATGGTTTGGATACCATAAGGCACACAGACACACTGGCTGGGGAGGTTTAACCCCGACATTTAGCCCAAAAAGCCATGTAGGGATCCCAAAGAGTAGTTATGAGAAAGACAAAGACAAAGCATTATTCTTCAGCGAAAGCTATGTACAGTGTATGCACCCCCCAGGCAAGGAACGGCAGTTTTAATGCAAAGGAATCCCCCTCCAACAAGAACTACAAAGTCAATCACCTTGTAATCTCCCACTTACCACGCTACAAGTCAGCCTATGTATTCAAATGATCATTCAGCAGCATTCAGGCAATGTCTGCCTTTCCTTATCTGAGTGCTTGGATGATTTATGGAAAACTAGAATCCTCAAAGAGGTCTGTCACAGGTGAGCAAAGGGTTAACCCAACGAGAAGCACCTGCCAAACACAGAAACGTAAATTGCAAATGTGAGACGGTGTTGAAAATCATGTTAATTAAAGAAACACAGCTGAAGCGGTAAGTCTGGGAGTGTGACCCCTTGACAGGAAGCCCCCCCCCCCAGCCACCCCCCATCTCACCAGCTGATCCGGCGTAAATGTCGACAGGGACTGCACCCTAATCAGGGTCAGCCGGGTGTCACCACCAAAGGCATCGATTGGCCTGTGGCTGGTGATCAGTCACCATGGAAACAGCATTAGTTGGCATTAACCCCACCCACTGCGATTGGTCCACCTCCTGCTGGTCACATTTTTTTAACAAAAGGTTGGAGACCTAACATAGCAGAAGCTTAGAAAAACTCACTGTAGGTAAAAGTGTGGCAGACTGCAATGCCCCCTGCAGGCCAGAAATATCACATATGAATGGCAAACTGCGTATATTTAAACGTGTGGATGGTTTCAGAGCCTCTCGCAGCCAGAAGTCGCAGGTTTGCTGGGAGTCTGACAGGAACAGGCAGCTTACATTATAGGTGTAAATGAGGTAACATTCAGCTCAGCCTCAGAGCTAGCAGTCAAAAATCACACGGTTGATCACCGCCGCACTGCCAAAACCATCTATCACATTACCGCCACGCTCCAAAAGTCTTTCAGAAGCTGGCGTTCCAGCATCACGCAGACTCTTCCGCGGATGAAGACATTTTTTTGGGAGGGGACTCATTAAAAGGAATTAACACCAAACATCAAAAGCTACCTGCCATATCACAGAAATAACCTCATCTTAGCCAGATGTTACACAGAATGACACATCGATCCACACAAAAGAGGCATTCTAGTAATTTTATATCTAGGAATAGAGCTATCCATGGTAACTGCATATGAGATAATCTCGTCAAGCTAATTCTGCCTCGGTCCCGGCAGGCAGGGCGTGAGAGTCTTGCAGTTGGCCCCCGGGGTTGCAGTGCACTATATCCGGACACCTTCCATTAAATATTCACGCCCACCATCACCGGGGGGTCCTTAGTCTTCATGCCCCTTCGGGTCTCTATGCTACACAGCCATCCGTGTCTTACAAGACGTGGCACCACAGCAGACTACTGCCGGGCCCAAAGACCCCCGCAGCCTGGAACAGCAGCGAGGCTGACCCCCCCCATCCAGACATGGGGGTGTCATACCCAGAAAGCTGCAGCAGGACCCCAGACGGCACTGTGTAGAGACGCGCAGGCCGTGGACGCTCGTTTGGAGCACGTTTACAAGCCGGGGTCCCGCCGGCGCTCTGCCTGGGGAGTGTAAATCAGCGGCGACGTAAATGAGGCCCCGACGGGCCGGCGAGCTCACAGCCGAGCCAGTTTATCCGGGGGAGTCTGACGCAGAGATTAGTTGGACAGCTTCCTTTTTGGGCAGTGCCCCTGCGGCCCAGGTACAAACGCTGCCTCACACACACACTCAGGAACACACACACACACTCAGGAACACACACACACTCAGGAACACACACACACACTCAGGAACACACACACAC